TTTGAAATAAAAAATCCTCAGAGATTTGCAAAGTACTTCAATAAATATGAAATCCAACAAGACAGCTGAGCCGTGGTAAAGATAAAATAATTTAAATACTAACAGCGTTAGTATGCACTAGTCTATATTAGTACTATCATATTTTGTTAAGACTTAAACAACCACAGCGTTGTGTTTCGCCATGTGAGTCCCCTGTTTTCCCATCTCCACCAATACCTAAGTCTCCCAAACCCGCATTCCAAAAGTTCTTCAAATAGATAAAAAATTATAGGTATTTTTATGAACAATAAAATCTTCGATTTTGCTGTTTTCCAGCGGACGTCAATGCAGCAATGACGTCGTGATTGCCCTGTCACTGCGTCTCCGTAGCTGTCGCAAAATATTTCTCTTTATTCCTGACCTGACTGATAAGCTATCAGTCACAAATTCACAATAACCTCCATTGGGCTGCTATTTTCATGAAACAACATTTAAGTGTGTTAGAGCCATGCTTCGGCAGTGATACCACGGACCACGGCCTCACAGATATGTTTCGCCGTGTGAGTCAATCCCAAAATCTCCAAATCCCTAATCCCTACTTGGTCTGGTTATTGCAGACGTCCATGGGCGATGCTGATTGCTTACCATCAGGTACTCCGTGTGCTAGTTTGCCGTCCTACAACATAAAAAAAAAATCTGAAGAAAAGCAAGAAATTATTGCAAATGACTAAAAGAAAAATATAATGTTCCTTTAGGTGGGTGAAGTGATGGGCACGTGCGGTCAGATCGCCCTGGTACCGGGCACGTTGACCCTGGCCGGCGGCGGGGCGCGGGCACAGAGCGCTCTCTCATTGCGCCATCTCACAAGGGTACTCAGGGCTCTGCATCCGAGGGCACACATTCGGAGTGTCGTGCAGGTCAGTGGCATTATTTTCACCAACTAAATAAACAATAATTTGATGATTGATAATTTGATTTTAAAAAATAATTATAGAAATGTTAAAGTGTTTATTATATGCTATATAAAACCTAAATAAGCTAGAATAATTAGCGAACAATATAATTTAGGGCAACCATATTTCAATTCCTTTACAAAATTCAAACATGTTATTTTAGCAAATTCTTATTATGTAGGTATATTTTTAAATGTTTCGACCAACATTTAAGATTATAAAACTTGCCATAATGTAAAAAATATCCACCTATTACGGTATGGCAGAGCGTATGCTACGTGTGCGCGGGGGGCGCGGTGGGCGAGGCGCGGCGCCAGTTGGAGCGGCGCACGGCGGGCGCCATCGTGCAGTACGCCGTGGTACAGGCACTGCCGCGACACGCGCTCGTCGAGTGGCACGCCTGGGCACACACTGACAACAACCGCTTCGAGTGTAAGTACACAATCCCTCCCTAATCCCAAAATCTCCATAAGGTCGCCAACATATTCGTAACTCCTCCTTTTTTTGCGGATTTCCATAGTTGGCGCTGATTGCTTACCATCTGGTAATCCGTCTGCTCGTTTGCCGACCTATGACATAAACAAAAATAAGTTCACAGTACTACTTTCTTGCACTTTTATCAGTACCTAGCCAGATTTATAGGCTGCCTAAGACAAAAGCTAGAAGCGGTTACTGTGACCTATATTGCACTATGTTCTGCTTATTTTTTATTTCCCGATGCTCTAGATGGGCAACCACCAAAGAGTTTGTAATAAGCTTTAATCACCAAAGTGTTTGTAATAAGCTAATGCTAGTTACGTCACCAGCCTTTTCTATACTAATATTATAAAGAGGTAATTTTTTTAAGTTTGTATGTAGGAGGTAATCTTTGGAACCGCTGGTCGGATTTCCGAAATTCTTTTACTTATAGATAGCTACAATGATCCTGAGTGCTAGAGGCTATAAAACATCACGCTACGATTAAATGGAGCCGAGCCGAGCAGCGGGTGAAACCGCGCGAGAGTAGCTAGTTTAATATAATATCTTCTTTTATCCCCTCAGCTGTGGCGGCCATTTTTCGCGATTCGGTGGATCTGTGTAAGCACTTCGTGGGTGGTCCGCGCGATACCGGCGCGTGTGTTTAAAATTACAATATCTCAAACCTTTTGTATAGAAGCTTATATAAAGCTTATATATTTGGAATCGCAAAGAAATAAGCTAACATAAAAAAAATGTACTGGTCCAGTTTTAATTTGTAATGTATAAATAATCCTTATTTGAAATCGGTTGAGCTACTATTTTCCCAGTTTGGTACAAAAGTCGTTACAATAGCAAAAATAAACAATTATTTTTAAAAACTTTAATTTTCTTCACTTATATACATGTGACTTCACATTAATTAGTAAAAATAAACACTACTCGCCATACATTTTTTTTACAGAAACAAGCTTTAAAAAAACGCCTCATTTAGGAGACTACTTTTTAAACGTCTAGTATCTGTCACAATTGCGTTCTAGAGACTTAAAATGTGAATTTATGTATAGTTCTTGTTCTTTTTCATACACTTCGTGCAAGTTAGAGCAGGAAAGGTACAGATTTACGTCATTAAACGATAAAATAAAGCGACGGGTCGCAGCGGACTCCAGGAGCGCTGTACACAGATCCGCCCATTTTGACAGAGGACTCCTGGAGTCCGTTCCACAGCTGAGGGGATATATAAAAATGGATCGCAAAATGTGTTGTTAAGCGCATAACTCAACAACGCCTGGACCAATTTTGATAATTCTTTTTTTGTTGTGTTTGTTATTGTCAGGAGAAGGTTCTTATATTACAAAAGTTGAGGGGAAGGTCATGAAAAGTGGCCCTTTGATAGCGAGATAGTTGGACCCGTGCGAAGCGGGGGCGGGCCGCTAGTATAATATAAGTTTAATGTAATAATCACCTATTCGGCCGGTGGTCCATTTAAATTTTCTTAAGAATTGAGTCGATTTGGTCCCTAAAAATCATTTAATAGAAGTGTTATCTTTTTCTAGATGAGGAGACTGGATGCAATGTCGGTGATTACAAAGTTGCTATCACGAGGAGGTGGAACTACGAGAACACTGTCGCCGCTTTTGTTTGTTATGTTGCTACAGGTTTGTATTTACATGGTTTATAGATTACAATCAGTGTAAAAGTCTAAATATACATGCATTATAGCACAGTCTAAAAGTCTAAATACATGCATTATAGCACAATTATTTTTTTAAAGACACTCCATTATAGTGTATCGGCTATTTAAAATAATTTTTCTTTTTTTAATGGCAAAAATCTCTTGATGATGTGAGAGGGAGTGTCCTTCTGCTCTAGGCCGAGGCAGATCCAATCTTGCAACCTGACCCTAAATATCCCTTGTCCAGAGCAGCAATTAATGAAAAAAAAGGTTGTCATCAATCATTTATAGGACAACATTTGTCAATTCTTTGTTAGTCTAATAAATAATCGATAATAATATACAAATAATACGAGATGACCTACGGAACGACGTTGACCCAGCAGTTAGTGATTGTATTTATTCTCTTTTGTTTCCCACTATCTTCACTCACTACATTTAATAATTTACTTCGATGACGTTACGAGCTGATTAAAAAAAGGGCACATAAATAGCATTTAATATTACCATGTTGTAGGTTCTTCGCCATCGACTTGCCAGCTGTCATTCCCGAACGAGGAAGTTTGCACGACGCACCGCATGCGCGCGTCCAGCATGACGCAGGAACAAATTGAAGAAGTGCTAGAGTATGCACTCCGTAAGCTCACGCAAGACAGGGATTCAGAAACTCAACATGCTGTCAAGATGAGGATATTTTATCAGGTGAGTTTGAATACAGACTTTTTGATGTTCTTAAAGTTCATTGGTATCTAACATTAATTGTTTAAAAGGAACAGTCTCATATTTTTTCTTTATCGACGACATTGAACGTGTTCATTTAAAAGTAAAATGTGGCTGCTACAAACTGTATTTGACTTGGAAAGGCTACTATGATATTGTGACCAAAATACCGATTGAATTATCCAAACAATAAAGTCCCCAATATACAACATACATATTTGTAACATTTATGATAGGTATATTCGTTTATAACTAAAAATGTGAAAGTGTCCTTTCCAAATCAAATAGAGTTGTATGCTTCTACTGAAGAAGATACTAAACTTTATTTGTGTAACATAATATACCTCTACACTTCTCACGAAGTGCAAAGCTTTACCTCGCCTCGGGCGATTTCCATTTATTGTCGGTTTTTGCAATCGAGTCAAGGGCCTGAAGTTGATCATGAATTTAAATCTAGCGATTTAAGTTGTCGAGTGTGAAGTTAGCGAGTAATGTAGAGGTGTAATAAAGTGGGCGTGTCTGTGTGCAGGTGTGGAGTGCGCCTGCGCTGTCGGTGGTGCTGGGCGCGGTGGCGGCAGTCCGCGAGCGGTCGCGGCAGCGCGCGGCCGTCACGGCCGTGCCCGTGCTGGCGCTGCACAACGCCTTCACCTTCCTCTCCATCAGCGGCCTGCGACTTGACGAGTGACCACCGGCTCCACGTCGCCACTACTAACTAAATGTCCGTCTGGTTTCTACGTTTCCATCTAAAACTAGTTTTAATGGATTATTTTGAGTATTTTTGGAATTGACAGACATAAAATTATTGTTCCACACAATCCTTACATTATTTTTGTTCGAATTTGTGTTATTATCTTGACGATATCTATACATGATACCAATACGCAAGATAATCCACGAAAAATAGTTTTGTTATTAACATCTATTTAACTATCTTATATAAACAGGGGGAGATGCCCCCTGTTACGTTGTGTTATATTAACGTTGTACAATATTCTTGTCCCCAGGTTTCATCGAAATATACGGATACAGATGCTTTATCGCCAGTTTATAAAATATATTTGCTGAATATTTTCAGTGTTTATAAAATTTTGTTAATTATGCTACCAAGTTTACCATACTATAAGTCAAATTATATATACATTATTTTTATTGCATTTGTGTTTTATTTTACTCACAGACAAACCTGCATTGCCTTGAAAATAAAAAGAAAAACAAAAGTTCAAATTAAAATTTATTTATCTTTTTTTACAAAAATTGACCGAACAGTGCGAGATTTCTAGAACGTTTACACTTGCATTAAGTAGACATAAAGTTATCATTATTCTCTTACAAGTAAGTCTTACAAATTCACCTGTGTCGATAAAGCAATGCGAATTACGGTGTCAGTCACACCGGGATCAGTTGTGTATATTGTATAAAAGGTTTATATTATCATGATTTCGAGGACATCAATTTTATCTTAAAAGTCATCACTAATAAGTAAATTATGATTAATATTAACCAAAGCATAATTATAAACTAAAACATTGATACATTAGTGTCAGTATTCAATGAAGTTACTAAGGTCGTCACCTGCACTTACACAATATAATTCTAATACAAGATATAATACACAACATTATGGGGATAATTGCACACAGCAGTGGTTAAAAGACGATAGCGCGCAGAGTTATATATCGTAAGTACAGCAAATGCATACACTTGTTGAATCGAATGTTACGTATACCGAAAACGAATACCAGTGGCTGCAGGACTACTGTCCAACCAATCATTCCCGGATTCGCCCTGGAAATAAATACCACCCAATTCTGCTATAATACTATCTTTGTAACCATAGGTATAAATAAATAATTTTCTCATAATGAAAAATAAACATACTATACTCTGAATTAAATAATTTATTTGATCTTTCTATAAAACTATAATTATTTATTCATTGGGTTCATATTGCCTTCCAGAACGAGTGCTAGTTAATAGTACATAAAGGTAGCCTATGTTTTGTACTTTGAAATTAAGTAAGGAAAACAATAAATGTTATTTGAAAGAAGAGCTGCTGAATTTGATTCGTACAATAATTAAACTACAGAAACGATAAAAATCTTATAAAATAATCTAGTGTAATTAATCAACAACTTTCATAAAGTGCGTATTAGGGGGAAACATATTCTTAATCATACCCAAACGATTCATAAATAAAATTCATTACAGGCAAACAGAATCAATCATAACTATCCGAACCTGATGAATTTATATAAAATTCCCTACGTTCTTGTAACAATCCTCCGCGAATATTATCTGGGACATAAGATTGTATACAGCTGTATCCATATAAAAGTACAACTAAAATAAATACCTTATTAAGCGAAATTAACGATAATCTAAAAATTATACTATATAAAAAATAAACAAAATGCGCACTGTCTTCAATAGTATGTGGATCGATTCATCAACAGCAGTGACAATAAAAACAATTTAGAAACAAAATCAAAAAATGCATTAAAAGGCAGATTTCTATTGTATGCATTTATTTTATTTTGTATTCCTGAGAACTAATTCGTAAATGACAGAATGTACCATGTCCGTTTGCAGTTCTAATATAGAGTTCACACATAAAACGAACATGATTCGACACAATGCAACTAAACCATCCATCGTAAAGTAATAACAGCACAACTACACAATCTCTCATAATCTAATCACTTTTAACATAACCAATTGTGGACGAATACACAATAAGATACATGATTTGTCTTGCAGGATACTTTAACTCAAATCTATGATATTAAAAATAGTATGATTGCCCAGCTACCCATATAGTGAAGTTAGTATTAAATTACTGTACAGTTTTAATGTTAAGAGTCCTGCGATCTACAGCTATCTATCTAACCACTTTTATGATCTTTATCATCTGTTAAATCAAACCGTCTAACTCCCACTAGGGATATAATAATATACATAATATTTCAGCGCCGGCTCCTCCGGGGATCGTACTCGCAAACATCTCAGCGTATAGAAAATAAAACGCAGCGATAACACAAAGAGACAATACACCTAGTATCTCCTCACTATCCGACAACTTACACGTACATAGCCTACCGGTTAATCGTTATATTAATCAGATTTATGTAACAGTTTACCTTACAACCGTAGTACCGAAGCGAATAAGAGTTACATATGAACTAACAACAGCTACATATATATTACACGGTCAGTTTGTATACAGTCCACCGCTTGACGCGCACACCGCGGAGAGTTCAGGCGTCGTTCGCGGCGTCCAGCGGGTCGCTGGTGTCGGCCAGGTCGGGCGGCGCGTCCGACCCCTCCGACATGTCGTCGCGCAGCTCCACCCGCAGCGGCTCGGCGTCGGCCGCGTCCCCCGTGTCCCCCGCGTCCCCGGCGTCCCCCGCGTCCACCGAGTCCTCGCCGGCCGCCTCGAGGCGCGCCTCCTCGGCCTGGCGGCGACGGCTGGCGAGGTACTGGCGATGCGCGTACTTGTTGAAGCGCCGCTTGGCCATGAACAGCGTGGCGATGGTGCGCGGCGCCAGGCGCACGGCGGCGGCGCGCGACGTGATGCCCGTCCGCCGGCACTCCGCGCACGTGTAGTCCAGCACGTTCAGATTAGACACCGTCTGTCTAACGCAATCTGCCGGAAACATCGCCAACGTCACACACCTTCTCTGGCTATATCGCTTCCCCAGAGCCTTCGTAGCCTCGTGTGCCCGATAAAAGCATTAAATGAAATTACCAATACTTGGTAACATGAGAAACATTTGATTCCACTGACCAATTTTACGATAGCAGTAAATTTTTTTATAATAAGTATAGTAGCTCGATTGTGTTGTTCAGAATAATAAATGGAAGAACAGTAATCGTTCTATGGAACCTATTTTCTAATGACATTCAGGTAATTATTTAGAATCTGGCTAAGCATCCAGTGCTACTTCCAATGTTGGTAAAGAGAGGAGTAGAGACAAAATGAAGAAATAAAATGTAGAGAAAAAATGAAGACAAAGATTTACGACATTGTGGATTTTAAAAGAAAATATTTCTTTAGTCGGGCACGTTTCGTTGGTTACCTAAATCTGTACGAAGGCTCCGGGGCGTCTGACCGCCATTGTTTCATTGTGTCATATCTGACAACATCAAAAATGGATGCAAAATATAAACAAAACAATGTCTTACAATACACATTCATATGTTGAATGGTAGGCTCACAATGCAACTGAGCACAATAAATACATAGGCGGTCAGCACAACGAGGCACAGTATACATAGTAGCAGAGCCGTACTGAGTACGCTGAATACATACCTATGCCATAATATATCTCCCTTTCATCCCCATGCCGGTGGCTCACAGTAGAGCCTTTACCTACACCTAGTACACGACAATGCATGGCACACACAATTCGGCAAGATTCGATAAACCTTTCGAGTTCTGCGACCCAATATATTTTCAGCTATGTTCTAATTTAGGCAGATCATTGCTTACTGTGTATTATACATCATGCGTTCACCTATACGTTGTCATCTAATCACATCTAACAAAAACAAAGCTCCCTATCGGTATATATTTCGTAAGTTTATTGTATTGGACGGCGAACCGTATTGTTACGTATATATCAGGATATATGGTACAACTTGTATTGTAGGCAATCATTATAGGTAGCACAAATTGGATAATATAGGATATAGCTATATATATGGAAACATAAGCATAAATATACATACTATAAGGCTACATAATGTCTATGGAAACGAAACTATGTATCATGACAAAAATGAAGGATTGAGTAAAGCTTGTGAGTATAACATGTTTTACGTAACAACTAATTCATGCACAGCGCATTCACACATCAACAGTAATAAACATGCGCTCGACTAAAAGCGGTTTTCGGACAATGAACATAAAATATGTTTCCTCACTTTCAGAAAACCGCCCTTGGTTAGACATGCGTACATTATCTTTTGACTAGGCAACATAACCCCAAGAAAATTTAGGACAACCATTAACACTTATGTTGACATAAGGTTATTACCGTTTTATGAGATCCATATTGGCCCGAACAAAGCTAAACTGTAACACTACTTCCAGCCCTTATTATAAAGCGATGATTACAAATTAAGGGTTCTGGTAGGGGTATCTACGGTTGAGCTTTGGACCCGTGCATGGACTCAGAAAACGAGAATAGGCTTACATAGGTATCATGCAATCTACGACAACATGTCTAACCGAAGTAGCGGGCGAGCAAGCGAATGCGTCTACACGTTCGGTGGTTCTGACGTACCTTGATGCAGTTGCCTATCGCAGAGCTTACATATGACGAGCTGCATGGTCCCCTTCGGGCCGATGAAGGAGCGCTCGCAGAGCGGGCAGTAGCGACCGATGCGATACGCCCTACGCACGCACACACACATACGGACCGTACGCGCACAAGCACCGGAACACAGAAACACGCCATTAGTATTAACACCGAAACCCCGCGCCGAGTGGACGGTCTCGCTTCATTCATACAGATTGTTGCTTGTCCTCGAATGACTCTCTTCTAGTATCCCTTCAGTTGTTACGTTACAGTCACGACACACGGTACTTAGAATGATGAGTAACGCGACAGCTCGACACTCACATAGTATTAAACCGATCACTTGAAATACATCTCAAACAGTAATTTGCAAGTGCTTGCGCAATAATGCCATACAAATACACATTGAGAGTAAAAAACGTAACATTGAAAAACACTAATTTACTAAATAAAAACAGAAAACGTAACAAACATTAAAATTGAACGACTAGCTACAAAGAATAAAAACATATACGTGTCCCATGTGTATCGAGTATCGACCGGAGTCCGAAGACGAGCAACAAGCATAAAGTCGAGTTAGTGAACGCAGTGGGGAGACTGATGGTACTACGCCCTTGTTAGTTAACAGTATGGATGTGAGTTAGTCGCAGCCGACTGCAGGATGACTGGTGAGATGTCGACACCCATTGTCATTGATGATACAAGGCTAATTGACGCAGTACAACCATCAACACAACGATAATACAGAAAGACAAAAGTTATTAGCTACCTAAGTGTATTGCATCAATTATCGAACAAATGAAAGTATTAAAATAATCAATAAAAGTAGGAGGAACAGTAAAGTTGGCAGTATTCTCAATTCCACAAAGCCCAGAATTTGGTTCCCACTGTCAGATTTGTTTGCAATAAGCAACTTTGTATAAAGACAGTGCTATACAAAGTGATCCCCTCATACCAATTGGCGGTGCTTCGCATAAGGTCCACTTTGCTGTTCTTTCTGTGAAGACTGTTTGCTCGTAAATGATTAGACTTTAATACAATAAATATACAAAGTTAAAGAAATGATTAATAGATTATAACAATCAACAAACATTCTTCAAATATGCATAAATAATAAACTTATGTCTATGGGGATGGCATGCAACTTATACGGTACTGGGATGTGCTGAGTAAGAACGCTGCGTTGGGGCAAAGTAAACATTCTGCGGGGCCACAATGCTACGGTACCAGAGACAAAGCGGATGTCGACAGAGTGAAGGCGGACGGAGAGACGACACTATGACCAGCTCGTGTTACTCCACATAAACACGCATGAAATGACGTGAAAACACATCAACTACCAAGACCAATTAATACGTAAACATATACACATAGAAATCATTTAATGACTTGTGTTATTAAACTTTGTACTTTGTATCAGCATCCCTCGATATATATTCTTCCTTTGGGAAACTCAGGTTTTGTTGGCCACCCTCTTGTTACTTGAAAAATAACATTGAATTATTGTTAATTTCCGTTATCTTCATTAGGAACCTAACCAACATAACTATGAGTTTGGCAACTCATCAATTATTTTTTTTCAATTTGGACCATATTTTTAAAATATATCGATAACATGGCGCTGACCTATGCCCTTTAAACAACAAACACTTCTTTTAATTATTCAGTAGAGACTATGCGGCAATAATAGCAATGAGTCGGATTCTGTTCAATGACTGATCAACACTACTCCATGATAAGATTTCTACAACAGGTTTGGATGATAATCTAAAAAATGTCTACTGAGGATAGATATCACCATCTACCAAATATAAGGACCATTATCAATCCTTTGTGGTAAATTGGGACTATGATGAGTTAAATCTGTATTTAAGTAAATACGATTTATGATAATGATAAAGTATAATAATATAAATGAAACTAAAATAATACTTAAATTTAATAATAAATTACTAAAGTAAATCAGTAAAGTGTTCCTATTTCTGTCGGCTTTTTATTGTGGTAAAAGAGTAGAGACATTATTTTGGTTGGTAACATTATAAAAGTAGTTGGTTTTTTTGGATTCAAAACACCTATTAACTAAGCCTTTGGCCATACTTACAGGTTGATTTATGTGGATCAAAATAACATTTAGTTTGGATTATTAGTTTTCTTTGGTTAATTTATTTCATACATGAACAACTAACTATACATGTTTTAAAAAGGTACCTTCCACCACATCGTCAAATTAAAATCACCTATCAGTATGACCATTACCTCAGAAGTTAGGACTTAATTTGACCAATGAAAACATTGGTTCAAGTCGTAGGTGCTTCCATATCGACTGTGTGTTATGGGGAGTTATATCAAGCTGATTTTACAATCACGCTGACCGCTAGCACTGAGAGAGTAATATAATGTTTTTAATCACGTTAATGGGAGAAAGAACATTTCGAGTTTCTTCAGGCTGTCTTTTTCTTTTCGCAAACATAGTGAGTGTACTTGGAAGTAATTTGAGAAATACTAAAGGACTCGAGCAGACGGACTGAGGGTCAGGGCCGACGATCGGTATGAGAGTAAAACCAGTCTTAGTGAAGAGTGTGTGGATATGCATGGTACTGACCTGGCGCAGGGCGTGCAGAGCGAGTGCGAGTAGACCTTGTGTCCGCCGAGGCCGCGTCGCGTCTGATGGTGCCACTCGGCGGGCTCGCTCGTACTGGCCGCGCCCGCCGCGCCGCCCGCGCCGCCCGGCGACCGCGCCCCGCATGACTTACAGATCGCACACTCTACGCAGTGCCACCGACCTGTAATGCATTACATAAAGTGTATTTCTAAACGTTTAACAGCACTTTCTCGGTTAGTGCAGCACAAGTATACTACAAGTTATATTTTGAAAATCATAATTTACAATTGGTTGATCATTTTTGTTAAAACCGGTTGTTGGTGTGTCTAAAACCTTCCGTCGCATTGGAAGGTTTTAGATATTAATTAATATGTATTACAAAAATATTAACAAAAATGATCTAGGCATTTAAGATAATTATGATTCAGTTTCTTATTATGAATGGACTGAAGTAGGTCAGTACTTGATATTATACAAAGTTCAATTTATTTATTTACATTTTACTTAAAAATCACCAATCCAACTTGGGAGAATGGTTTGACACAAGCGATTTTGCGATTGCACAAAATATTTTTTCAAAAGCTTACCTAAATAACATGGCCGGCAAACGGCGTTGTTAGTAAACACAAATTACGCTACACAAACACGTGATACAATCGAATAGATAACTCTTATCGTACTTCCGAAAAATACAGATAAGTATTTCATTCATTGTTCGCCGATGCGAACTGCGATCCAAAACAAAAACTCGTTTTGTTGCTAATACATTTGTTTTTGTGGAAAAATCAAGATAAAAACAGGTTTATACAAATTTTATACACTTTATAATGACTGACATAATTAATATAAAACATTAGGTATAGTAGAAAAAAAGACTGTAACATATTAATGTATCCAGTTTACATGTGAAAATGTTAAACAATTAGCGCCGTCCATGGAAACTCGCGGCATTAGAGGAGTTACAAGTCTGTATTTGACTATTTTTTGTTGTGTTTTTTCCTCATTATTTTAGCATTTTATATCTCATTATTTTTATTTGTAGCAATACACATCAAAACAAAGTCATCGCTTTGTTTTGATGTGTGTGTGTGAATAAGTTGCCGTATGAATAAAAAAAAAGGAATTAGTGTTTATAATTGCGCAGTTTTTTAAGTCAAAAATTATAATATAATCATATCTATCTTACATTCATTAATTTGACGATATCCTAATTATAGATTATTTCAGAAATGCCTTACATGGCGTTAAAACATAATGACGTGAGGTGACAATATTATGATACAAAGTATAGTAACATACCGCTGGGCACGGTGTCGAGTCCGACGCAGTAGATATGGAAGCCGCGGTCGCAGAGGTCGCAGAAGAGCATCTTGTCGTCGTCGGCGGGCTGCCGGCACGTGCAACACGTCTTGCACTCGGCGCACTGCCACGCGTACTCGCGGCACTTGCGGATCGTGTCCGCGCTCAGCTCCAGGCACGACGGGTGCACTGCGATGGCCATCATCAACAATATTATAATTATAAAATATTATAAGCGCAAAAGTTACGATGTTTGGATGTTTGTTACTCAATCACGCCAAAACGGCTGGACGGATCTGGATGAAATACACTCCGGAATAGGACATGGGCTTCTTTTTATCAACGTACCATGCGGACGAAGCCGCGTGCGGATGCTGGTAGAGAATAGGAAATAACAGTAACAATTAAAGACCTTATGATACTTCCATAACATAAAAATGTCTATATTTATAAAAATGAATCGCAAAACGTGTTGGTCGCAATACCTTTTCTTTTTTTAATAAGTTTGTTATTGCCAGGTGAAGGATCTTATGAAACAAAACTTTAAAAAAAGCATAGGGGAGAACTGGGAAATGGGAATCCTTTCGTAGTTATAAGTATTTCGAAGAGATAAGTAGTTGGAGACCCGTGCGAAGCAGGGGCGGTAACTAGTAATCAATAAAATTGTGTTCACAACACAGAATCCCTGGCATTAATTATATCATACCATTCTTTAAAGGGATTCCTGACCAAGAACAGTCTACTAGCGTAATGTAAGTATACTCTATTGTTAAGACATTTCAGGCAAAAGGTAGTCTCCACAAGACAAGATGTTGCGTAGTATTGAACAATGTGAGTGAGAGTACGTACGCTTGGCGTTGCAATTAGCGCAGACGAGGAACCGTTCGTGCGTGTAGCGTCGGTTGGCCTCGAGACGCAGCTTGCAGACGCGGCAGAGGTCCTCCTCGCGCGTCTCCTCGCGGGGCTCGCGCGACTCTCGCACCTCCGCCTGGCTACTGCGCTTCGTCTTTGTCAGTTTCTTCCGCTGTAACCATGCAGCATACCACCGATGGATTATTCATTCTATGTATATCCATTAAGTCCGCACACATAACAGGTGATTATTCTAATTATTTAAATGTTTATTTTAGTAACATCGTTCGAGCGTCATACAGACAATAAACTTAGATTGGTATAGACAAGCCCCAAATTCGAAGTATCATCCGACTATATTGGAAATCAATCATAACAAAGCAATGTAACAAAACTCGTTATTTTTTAAAAACACCTAATTTAATATCTATAATTATATTGTCGTTGTATTCATTAGCAAATGTAACTTACCTTAGCAGAATGATGTGTAGGGCCATCAGAATCCTCAGACGATGAGAATCTTGAGCCCCAGTCGGGTTCTGATTCGGAACTCCATTCTTCTGACGGGGGAGCAGGCGGCGCCGCTAGTACTGTATTCAACGGGAAGTACCTGCAGGAGAATATACTTATGTATTTAGATATCTTCTTTATCTAGTCGTGATGATAGACGTGTACTTGTAAAATTACATTTATACCTATCTAAGTCTTTTTTAAACGACTCATTTTCGAATATTGTAGAAAATTAAGTAGATATTAAATAAAAATCCAAAAGTGTACATTTATTTGGAACCAGCTAGTATCAAAAATATCGAAAGTACAGTGATTGAAATTAAAATAAATAGAAAAATGTGCTGATGATAATGAGGATTAGTAACTCAACAGGAAGGAGTTGAACTGTAAAATTTTTAATTGTAATTATAAACGTTGTGTACGCTTTTATTATACTGTTTTTCTTTATAAAGAAAACGTGTAAGTATAAGGTGAATAATAAAGTATGTCTGACCGTAGCTGGTCGGGCGTGTAGACCCTGTAGGAGTGCTGGTACTGTCCGGGTAGCAGCGCATGCGGGTAGAAGCCGGCGGGCGGGCGCAGGTGGGCGCGCGGCGGGGCGGGCGGCGCGGCCCGCGCGCGCTGCACCGTCAGCGACTGCAGGTCGGCGCACGCGCCGCGCCGCATCGCGTTCGTACGCGCGTTCCACTCGCTCGCCGACGCTATGGCCGCCGCCGCCATGTCCTGCCCACAAACTTACTGTCAACCTCCATCGAAACCACATCCGAACATAGCAACTCACTCAATATTTACCATTAATAACACAAAACTATAACAATAATACAAGATTGTAAACTGAAAATATCGTAGGTAAAACCAAGTTATGCATAAATAATATAGATAACAAAGATAAAACTACTACTGTGTACATTAAATGACGAAAAACTTAAAAAAATGAGGTAGGTCAAACAATTATTTCAAATATCTGTCAAATATGAATACTTCATCTACCCACAACCATAGACACTTAAAAACATCCTAAATGTTAAAAAAAACATTACACAAAAAATTACATTCCCGAAAACTAAAGATTGTAGCTACCTAACGACCCTAACTTACCTGTCTTGTCTTTTCAGGGTCAATTTTTGGCAGTTCAGGTTTATGTTCAACTGGTTTCTCCGCTTTCATTTCAACCTTAACCACCTTTTCTTCCGTTTTAACTTCTTCGGCTGGTTCCTCAGCAGCTTCAGCCAATTGCCTTTGCCGCTGATACGACCGATACTCTTCATATTTATGAGGATAGTCAGATAGCATGATATCTAACACTTCACTTGCGTCTACCGCGGTGATACCTGTTAAAAATGGGATTTTGTTAATAGCTTTTTTGATCACAATATGGTGCTACAACGTTAAAATTTATTTACTAAATAAATAAGTAACTGTTTTATAGGTAGAACAACTAGATATAACAAATTAAGGACTAAAAGCTGAATTGAAACTGATTTTTATATAAACCTAATTAAATTCCTCGGTTTCATACAGGCATAATAATATATCCAACTCAAGTATTGGCAAAATTTTACCAATGGCTTCAGAATGCATAAAGGACAAAAATGCAATAATTTTAACCGGGAATTGCCAGGCTATAAAGTGGCCTATGTTTTTATTTTAACTACAGCCTATTCCTGTGCCAATTTTCATTCTGAGGTTTTGCGTGACAGACTTGCGATACAGAGATCCTAATAAACTTTCAAATTAATGATATTAGTAGTAGGATTATAAAGTTTAAACTTTAAAGTGATACTTACCAAGGTCACACAATGCTTCAGTCACGAGACCTTTACTAAGAACGTAGTCTCTCTCCTCACCCGAGATTGTCCGCCTCTTCAGCTCGGCGTACCGCCGCTTGAAGCTTTTCACTCCTAAGAACATTGCTACTTGCTCCTGAATCATCATTACCTATAATAAAGACAATAAAATACATTTTTATTATACATTGGTTCTTTTCACTAGCTATCCTGGTTGGGAAAATAAGTTGCTCTACATAATCTGACATATTATGTTTTGTCAAAATTAAAAATATGTATTTGATGTCTGTCCATGGCCGGTGGTCATTCACAGTCGGCGAATCAGGATCTTGTGGATAATAAGGTATTGATGACCCCGCATCCAAGGCGTTCTTCGCCTGTGGAAGAACTGTTTTTAAGTTGGTTACTGATGGATATAGTTTACCTTATGTTCAACATCAGCCTTTTCTGGCGGGGGCCACGTGTATTCCTTTACATCAGCGGCCGTCCACACCTTATTACTGTAAATAATGAAAAATATTATATGAAATAAAACTAATAGTTTGTAGAGGATGTTATTTCAATGAAATATTTTCAATAAATACCTGTCAAACAAGTCAGCAAATTTTGACTTCTTCATTTTACTGCTCTCATTCGTCGAACTCTTCACTGAACTTTGAGAATCTTCGTCCAATAAGTGTGTGGGCCTAAAACCACACAAGTTTCGTTAGTTATTTTCATTTTGTTATTTTTTATAGATCGATTCGCTATGTAGATAAACGTGAATAAATATGGTATGAATCAGATAATTTAGTCATACTCACTTAGCAGGAGTGGCGTTATCGTCCATCATACATGTTTCTTCTTCGAAGAGCTGCACTGTCGTCGTAGCTGGCCCACACACTCGCCCGTAGATGCCCATTGTTTCCTATAACACGAATTAAAAGATTGATTAAAAAGAAGATCAATGTAGTATGTGGATTTTAAAACATTTACTATAGCACCAAACTGTTAAGGACTATTGCTCAGTCTCGATCTTAAAAAAAAATGTGATTATGGACTTTGATAAACAACAAGTTTTTACAAAGTTATGATTTCAATATAAAAAAAATAGTTTATGATATGAATAATATGATCAACTTACCTTCATATAGGTAGCGCCCCGGCCGCCTCCCCTGCCCCGTCCTCGCCCACGTGGCGTCCTACCCCGACCGCCCCTGCTCCCCCGCCCACCTCGACCCCTCCCTGAACCACTAACTTCGGGAGTCTTGCTCATATCCTCCATTTTCGCGTTCTCAAGCACCACCTTCAATTCCGACGATTCACCAGTCGAGAAGTTCCCTGATGAATTCCGTCGTCTACTTGTCAAAGGTGTTACGCACGCAGAAGGCATTTTGTCGAGAGCTTCCGTCATCCGAGGAAGTTTGATTCTCGAACTGGTAGGGTCGATGTCAGCAGGAGGTGGCCGGTCTTCCGGCTCATCAGCAGGCTCGATAACCACTATAGTCTCGAGTTCTGTGGGCGGCGTAGTCGCTTCAACACGTCGTCCCCCTCGGCCTCTACCACGTCCTCGTGGCTTCGTCAGTATTGCTGGCCTGTCCCTGAAAAAAATGTACAACATTTTAATGCTTCTAAAAGGGCAACGTAGATATATTTTCAGTAACTAACATTGTGGTATAGGTGAACACAAGATGTGTAGAGAAGTCTACACTCACCTCATTAAGCGTAATGACCGCTGCGGCCGCTCTTCTAAGGCAGGTACTGGCAATGTGACGGGTTTCGCTCCTTCAGATACAGGCAACTTTCGTGGACGTCCACGTTTTTTTGGTTGCGGTGTTAATTCCGCTGATTTAGGTATTTCAACAATCTCTGGGCTTTCTTCAGGTGGCCTGGCCACCTCTAAAGGATCCTGAGAAACCTCTTCAGGAGTAGTGCCAAATTCTGAGTTTTCATTTATTATCATTTCTTGTAGTTCGGGGTGAGAGTTTTCTACAGGAGCAGTTTCAACTGCATCTAAACTACTCACTGAGGCATTTATTTCTTTATCAGTAGCCACAGTTTGTGGTTTTTCTAAACAGTTTGTATTGTTATAAGGCAATGATTGCATTTGTTTTGCATGTAAATTTGACAAAATATTATGCAATTTTGAGTTGCCATTCTTTGAACAATTCTCGTTATTTAGCAGGGAGTGATTGACAGTTTTAACTCCCTGTTTTAAATCTAAACCAGTCTTTGTAGGTGAGGGCGGAGAAGTTTTTGTAACAGGAGTCATTGTAAGGGACTTGTTGCCCAAAAGTTGTCCTAATTTTAACCGTTTACTTTGTAACAAGGAAAGCTCAGAATCTTTGTTTTGAGGAGGGCTAGTATCTGTTGTAGATGGCCTCTTGCCCATATTCCGCCTAGCTATTGGAGTCTTCTCTGTATTTTCTACAATCCTTGAACTCCTTAATCGCTTACCTGAAGATAAATTCAATGATGTATCCAAAGATTGTTTCTTTCGACTATTTACATATTTTTTCGGACTTGACTTATCATTTGCAAGATCTTGAGTATTTTCAGAGAGGTTTTGTTGCACATCAGGCCTCTTTACTTCTTCAGTTATAATTTTTGCTGAGGGACCATGATCAGTCTTATTAATTTTTAATATTATTCTTGGAGAATCTTGGCCAGAACTTTGATTTGTAACCTTATCAGATATGGTAATTTCTAAGGGCTTGGTTAAGTTCTCATTTGCCTTATCACAATGATCTTGGATTGCATGGGTATTTGAATCCACAGACCTCTTTGAATCGTTAATCTTATCAGGAGTAGCACTTCTCTTCTCAATTTTCTCAATATTTCCAGAACTTAATCTGTCTAAGCTAGATTTACCCGATTCAACTAAATGATCACTGTTCAAAGTTTTGTTCTCAGCTGGCAAAGAATAATTCACTATTGGAGAAACATCAAGGCTTTTATCTAAACTACATTTATTTTCTAACAGTTTTTTCAACAAAGTACAATTTTGCACTGATGAATACTTCGACCTAGTAATTGTTTGCATCATATTTGCCTCACTTATGGAGTCAGTAGGTCCAAAATTTATATTCTTGTGTTCTGGGCCAGTTGCATTAATAACAGGCATTTTATCAGTACTGGACTCAGGAAAAGAGGATCCTGTAACTAAAGAGTCACATTCTGGGCCTGCCTCTGATGAATGCTTTTCTTTATCTGATATTAAAGATGGTTGTTTATTTACAAATGGTGTTTCAATATCTGCATTCTTTTCAATGGAGTCAGGTACACAATTGTCCTTTATTGCAGCCTGTACATCATTTACTGGTTCACTGCTTCTTTTCTTTTCTAGAGTTCCTTCAGATTTAGATTCTAATGCATTAGTTACTTTTCCTTTTTTAGGAGACATGGGCAATGGTTCATTGATGTTGTTACAAGATGCATGTTCATTGTTGAAATTTTCTGTCATGGTTTTCATATTGATTTTCATTACAAGGGGAGGATTTTTTGAAGGAGTTTTATCTAGACTATCTTCCTTACTTTTTGTTACGTCTGGGTCTTCAGGCTTTAAAACCGGTTTAATATTTAATTTTGTAACAATTGGTATTGTTGGACTATGGCCATCAATTTTATGTTCCTTTTTAGGGGAAGATGGTGAGATGCTTTCTCCGGGTTTTATTAAAGGTTTTATATTTAATTTAGTTACAACAGGAATGCTTGGTTCACTAGATGAAACAGTTTTAGATGATTCATCTGAGCTATCAGGTTTAACGATTGGTTTTATATTTAATTTTGTAACAACAGGTATATGATCTCCATTATCATCACTTGAATTACCAGTCTCTGATGATTGGTTTTCTGAATCTTTTAATGTTTCTTCATCATGAGGCTTAATTATAGGCTTAATATTAATTTTAGTTACAACAGGTATACTATTTTTTTCAATGTCAGCATTCAATTCATCACAGTCTTTTTCCTCTGAAGAATTATCTTCAGGATTTTTTATTGGTTTAATATTTAATTTAGTAATTTTAGGTACATCATCTACACTAGAATCTACATCATTATCTTTAGGCTTTAGAACAGGTTTTATATTTAATTTTGAAACTACAGGAACTTTATCTTCAAAGCTTTCAGGGGCTTCTCCACTGTCTGTAGGTTTCAAAATAGGTTTGATATTTAATTTAGTTACTACAGGGATATGTTCTGGACTGTCACACATTGCTGTAGACCTTGTTACAGGTTTAATTGTAATTTTAGGCACATGTGGACTTTCCTTTACTTCAGTTGGTTCAGTAGATAATTTCATTTTAGGTATTTCTCCATCTTTATTTGTTACATCTGGTGGTTTCAAAGGTTTAATAGTCAACTTTGGACTTAGTGGCTGACTTTCTGATTTCGAAATAGTTTTTATAGTCAATTTTGGAACTTTTTCAAGTTGTGTGTCTGAAGATGCTTCTGACTGGCTTATTACCATTTTCTTTAATTTAGGTTCTTGGTCATCATTTTCATCTTGTTGAACTTTTATAGTAAGTTTTGGAATATTTTTTTCAGTATAAAATTTACCTTCACTCTCAGTGCCAGGTTTACCTAGTTTTATTGTAACTTTCGGAACAATATCAGAAGGTCCTTGATCAGAAGCAGATGCTTGGTCTGAAGTACTGGTTTCATCATTTTCAGAATATTCAGATTCTGAAATTTCACTGCTACTGGATTTTCTATGAAAATCATTTATTTTCTCTGGAGGCTTCAGTATTGGTTTTATATTTAGCTTTGTGACACTTGCATTTGATCTAGTAGAGCCCTCTATGATATTTTCTGTTGGTTTGGGGATCGGCTTAATATTTATTTTAGTAACACAAGGTACTTGATGATTATCTTCTGTGTTATCATCTGAATCTTGTTCAACAGGTGGTTTGATAGGTTTTATTGTTACTTTAGGTACAGGAGACTTTATTTCATCTGATTGTTTCAATTTGATTGTTAATTTAGGTACTTGTTTAGTGATTTCAGATTCTTCATGAATAGCATTGGTTTTACTAATACTGCTGTGGTCTGTCTCTTTGTTAGATTCAGATAGATTAGCCATAGATAAGTTTAGTTTGATAGGTGGAACTTTCTTTTCATCCTCTTGCACATGCTTAGGTTCACCCATTTGGATTTTATCTTGCATTTGTATGCTCACAGGATCTGATGTGTGATCAGGTGGTGGGGTCTGATCATGCTCTTGGATATGATCTTGCTCTTGCGGAAGATCTTGTTCTTGCGTGTGATCTTGCACTTGTGTATGATCATGCACTTGTATGTTATCTTCAAGTCCTTTATGATCTTGCACTTGTGTGTGATCTTCCACTTGTGAAACATCTTCTGATTGGTTATGGTCTTGAACTTCAGTGTGATTTTGAACTTGCGTGTCACCATCCACTAGTGTAGGATCTTGTAATTCTGTATGATCTTCCACTTGTGTATGATCTTGCACTTGTGTTTGATCTTGCACCTGCATTTGAACTTTTAAATCTGTATGATCCTGCTCTTGGGTATGATCCTCCTCTTTTGAGGTATCTTGCACTTCCTTGTTGTCTTCTTGTGTTGTTTGGTTTTGGACTTGTGTGTGATCTTGTTTTTCTGTATGCTCTTCAAGCTGCCTACCATCTTTCCCTTGTGTTTGGTCTAGAGCTTGTGTGTGGTCTTTCCTTTCTAAGTGCTCTTCTACTTGCATTTCATGTTCCTGTTTCTTTTGATCTTCGACTTGTGTATGATCATCCATTTGTATTTCATTTTGCTCATTTCTATGATGATGGCCCTCTGTATGTCCTTGAGTTTTCTCACAATCCTGTGTTATTGTGTGATTTTCAGCTGTGCTATTGGTACATTCCAATTTAGAGCCCTCGAAATTTTGTGTACATGCAGGTGTGTTTTGTAAAGAAGGTAATACTTCATTTTGAGCACTTTCTATATCTTTAGTATCCTTATGTTCATCATAGTTAACATTGCTTTCATCAGGGTTCAAATCATTTTCTATAATTTTAGCTTGTGGTGAAGCTGAATTTGGTAAAGATATACTACTAGTTTCCTTTACTACATTATTTTCATCAACAATATGTTTGATTGATTCCAATGCATTTGGTAAACATAAGGTCGACTGGCCAGATGGGATCTGTTCATTACTATCATGTTTTTCAACCTGCTCTAGTTTTAATGAATGAGAATGTTCTATTCTGGTTAGGGAATGTTCATCAGAGCTTGCTGTTTGCACAGGACTATTAACAGGCTTTTCAGTTATGCAATTAGCAACAAGTATAAGTGGCTCATTGCTGTCTTGAGATTGTGAGATATTAATGTTATTTGAAGATTCTGAATGAGGCTCAGGCAAGGGTAATGAATGGCTTTCTGATGAAGTTGATTGACACTGATCCTTATCTGATTGAATAGCAGTCTGATTAATAGAATTATCTGTATTATTAGTACCAGAAATAACTTTTTGCCTAATAAGCTTAATTTTTTTAGGAGAACTTGATGTTTCTGCTTTGCAGAAATTAATTTCACTTACATTTCTAATCTCTTCTGGTTTTACGTTACCATGTAATGTGGGCACAGCATCAGATGAACTTGTCACATCCTTGGTGATATTTTCACTACTTGTTTGTTCAGTAGTGGGTAAATGAACAATTTGGGAATCAACAGTTGAGGACACTGTAGAGTCAGGCCGTCTATCACTGGGGGCTGGCCGTACCAGACGTCGTTTGAGTGGTGACCGAACTGGCGTTTCTACAAACACTGCTTTACCTTCACTAACACTACTATCACTAGATGTGGATTCTGCACTTTCAACAGTTACATTGTCCCTTTTATCACTGGATGACACACACTTCACTGTTCGTTCTTGTGTTTCACATTCACCACTTGAGTCCGTAATGTTTTGCACAGTCTTTTCTTCACTGCTGGAAGGAATATTGGGTGGAGGGCAAATAGCAGGTGCTTCAGAGGCTTCAGGTACCTCAGGTACTTTTGACAGAGCACTGTCTTCAGGCTGTGTAGACACTGCAGGCTCACCAGCCTCTGGCAGAGACGAACTTTGTGGTAAAGAGTCAACACTGTCTGTATTTAAAACACCCGGTGATAGATCACTTAAAGATGATTCGGTTTGAGAACTAATGCCAAGCTGAAGCGGTGAATCGCTTTTGGCATTTTCGGCTGGAGATGCTTCAGCAGGTTGAGAGGTGATGTTGTCCGAAAGAGTCTTACTTGATTCTTGTATGATGATATTCGAGTGTTCACTGGTAATTTCGAGTTCGTCAAAAAGCGTATCAACAGATTCCGATTCTAAAGGTACCCGCTTTGGCGCACCCGGACCGTCCACAATTTCATCTATCATATCCAAAATCGCCTCGGTGCTCGCGTTGACGTCCTGCGCCGACGGCGACGGTACACTATCGCCGTCGAAATTATCTTCCGACATCGCGGGAGTATCACAAGCCGTCCGCGTTTCAGATGGTTCCTGCTGGAAACTACTAGTTGCATTGACGTCCTCGGCCAGACCGACGTCCTTTTCCCGCGCCGATGCACGGCGGGAAGCGTTCGTCGCTGTGCCCGCATCATCTTCTGAACTCTCCATTATCTACTGTTTTGCGACGCTGTCATATCTGAAATATAAAACGCTCGCTGGGTGATATTTACGTTACGAACGGGTAACCTGACGACGTGCGAGATTGACAAGCCACAGGCACCATTCTAATTCACCATAACGCTACAAAATTTCGTTCACGGGGTCCACAGCGTTGATTATATACCTACACATGTACTTTAATTTCATATTCACGACGTTTAGGTCTTATACGAATACGCGCGAGGTCTTGGAAAGTATTCAACAGCGTACACCGGCAAACAAAAAGCTTGTATACGCCATTTTTAAAACCAAAGACATGGCAGGTTGGGACGTACGGGCCAATAAAAAATATCCTATACGGACAATTCGGCCATTGTCGTGTTGGTAAACTGCAAGAAGCCCATAGATCGCTCCACTTGAGCTTTTAGCTTGTAAAAGAGTAATAAATATGTCTTTCGACATGTGTTAAAACGAGTCAGACAATAACTCTAGTACAACAAAAATTATTAAAGGTGGCAACAAAATCGTGCATCATTCTGTTTTCTCCATTTTTACTTCAAATTTTACCCACTTAACAGTGATATTAATAGTATTTATTAATTGAAATACTCAATTGTGACATTTTATACTATATATCCATTGTTTATGCAATTTAAAATGGAAGAAAAATGAAAAAGTAGATTTTTAGTCGATTTTTTATTTGAAATTTAAAACATCTTTTACCGTTCCTATTATTTTTAGTAAACATTGATAATATTTCATGTATGTTTGCAAATAGATTCTAAATTAACATACATGTCAATATATCATGAAAATAGATTCTAAATTAACAATATTGGACCTTTATTAGGTTTTGATTTGGCTATACCTGTTTTTTTTAGTCGAATTTTTTTTTATACTTGTTATTTACAGTAAATATAAAATTTTCGACAGTATTGACTTGTAAAATTATTTTGAGGATTCGTGAATGTTTTATCTGTTTTTTGTCATAGCATCTCACCCAAACAACAACAATGTTCTATATTTATAGCCGAGGTCCAGAAATGACACAGGAATAATATTCAATATCAATGCATGATCTTGAATAATTTTTCTCATGATATTATGTATTGCAGATATCTTCTGGAAACACTGACCTCTTTAATAAACGCTGGACTGGCTATCCCTAACAAAATGACAGCTATTTTCTGTGCCGATTCAAAGCGCCCCGGTGAGAGTACTGAGAACTAATTAAATTGCAAATGGCCGTTGTTTGTTGTTTAAATGCGAAGTATCTTTGCGGAATAATACGTTTTTTAAAGTATTTACTGCGATTGTGACATAAATTAATTGTTATAATAGTGACAGTTATTGTATCATAGCTTCTATTATTGGACCAACATGAAATCGTGCGTATATTGTAAAACACGATACGAAAAGAGCAGTGGCGTCACTTTTCACAAGTAAGTGAATCTAAAATATAAATACTTAGTAGGAAACGCTTAAAGCAGTGTATTCTTTCAATAATAAACGTAAACAGTTCGAGTTTATGGGATTTTACGAACATTTTTATAACCAATAACTTTTGATAGGGATGGTAAAGTTCATATATCGATACTTTCGTCTGGAGTAATAAAACCAGTAATGCTACGTTTTATTTTATTCATAATTAAAATATTTTATATTTTTAATATTAATTTGCGTCAAATACGACACAGCTCTTGATGGTTTTTTAACAATTCATAAGTATTATTGGCAAAATTGTGGTGTTTTCCACAAAGGCCTAAATAAGAATTTAATTGAATAAAATTATTTACCTTCATTGTAGAATAATAATATGCACAATATAATGATCTCTAATAATAGCAAAACACTGCAAGGTTTATAATTATCAGAGTCAATAACGAATAATTTAACATTTATGATTAATAATTTTATTGAGTGATCTACCAAACCTAAATTTATATATATTTGTAATAAAATAACACATTTTTACAGAAACCAATTCAACCTTATTACAAACTGAGATGTCTAAAAGCTGATCAACCAACAGAATACCAATGCGAGAAAGATATTGAAATGAGCTTGGATGAATTTAATTCACCATCAGTACCTGTACAAGTTGGGTTACTAAATGATGAAGTCCATGAAAAGTAAATGTTGCCATGTGAAGCCCTTGCAGGTAAGTTATTTTAGAAAATTTTATAAATACTGAGCATGGCTTGCTGAAGTACTACGTTTGCAACTAACAGTGGGTAAATACTAAACAATTTTTAAGAGGTGAAAATTATGTACACTTAGGGATTTTTATGCCTATGTCCAACAGTGTACATCTTTCCGTTCAAATGATGATGATGACATACCTTTCCCAATATTTTGAAACATATTTTTACTATCTAATTATTATCTTTCTTTGAATAATATAAATAATGAAATATAATTTCTTGTTACAGTTCCAAGCACAAGTTACAACCCAAGCTACTGTAGCACACCAACAGAATCTAGAACTTTAGCGGAAATCATTTCTAGTGTCAAATTAGATCACATCTACGAGAACACCCCAAAATCTTCAAAAAATAAATTGGAAAGGGTCTAAAAACCTTGAAAATGTCACAAGCTCGAATTAAAGTATTGTCACAAAATATTAAACGTATGAAAATTACTGTGTCTACTTTAAAATCTGTAATTGCTGATTTAAACCAAAAGAAACTGGGATGTGATGATTGTGTTTATATGTTAAATCAGTATGATGATTTCAAACCACAACTTTTTAAAAGAATAACCAAAAATGTAAAACGTTTAAAGTAATCTCCAGAATTAAGATAATTTGCCATTTCTTTACATTTTTATTCGCCAAAGGCATATGCATATGTGCGTAATAGGTTTTATTTGGCTTTGCCTCATCCTCGTGTGATACGCTCATGGTATAGTTCCATTGAGGCCAATCCAGGTTTCTCAGTCGAAAGTTTCAATACCTGATTCTAATATTAATGAGGCTTTATAATTCGATCGATATGAAAGTCAATAAGCAACCTTTTAACGAAAACCAATGAACTGTTTCCTAAAAGATCACTTGAGAGACGGTCTGTTATGTCTCAGACAATTTTCATAATCATGTTCTTTTAAAAGAAATAATAACCAAATATATTGACATCCATTTGTACGCAGAAACAAAAAAATACTTTTTATTAGTAACTGGAGAGAAAGTAAGACATTTTTTGACCCAGCAGATAAAATGGGCTCGACGATATTTTTTAAATAATAAAATATGTGATTTAAATATGCTTTTTTAATTTCCCTGTCCCTTCCCTTGCAGTAGTTAAGCTGTTAGGCTGGTTTTAGTGTCACGCGGACCGTCAGTACGGATCTCTCCGCGCAGACCGATCCGCACTGATGGTCCGCGTTATGGTGTTTTAGTGTCGCCCTGACCGCCGTGGTGTACAGACGCGCGCAATGCATCCATTGTGGCGGGTGTTATTGGTTATTTCCCTATATTACTCAAGAAAAAAAAAACAAAGAAGGAGACTGCATGTACACCCTTTAATAGAGCAGAGAGCCGTCGCGGGAGAATTCGTCACATTATACGGCAGTTTGAGGGCTGACGAAACAAAGTTCTTCAACTACTTTCGTATGTCGACTAGAAGTTTTGACGAACTACTGTCAAAGACAAAAAATAAACTGGTTTATTGCAGCTTACGACGCCTACCTATACCACCGATTGAACGCCTGATGGTTACTTTGAGGTAAGAATAAAAAATAATTTCTCTCAGTAATATAATATTTATTTATTTGTGCTTGAGTTCAGAAAAAATTTAGATTTTAAAAATCAGTAAAAAAGTTAATTATATCGATTATTATCTGAGCGATACTCTGCTGTTTGATAACCTGTTGTAGTTTCATACACATAGTCGTATTCTGACGATGCGCCAGCAGCATAAGTATTATATCTTGGTGAAAATCTTGAGGTAGATGAAGAGCTACTGGGCCTATTTCGCATATTTTTAATTGCCGTTGCTTCGCGCAGCACTCTTGCCCGAAACTCTAACTTCTCTTCAATATCAAAATCGCGTAAAATTGGACCCAACGAGGAAAAAAAAGCCAGGTCATCAGAGGCAAGATCAGGTGTCTGGTTAGACAGCAAAGTCAATAACTCGCGTTCAAATGATGAATTTTCTTGATTTGTTTGTCGTGGTCTATTTTTTCTTTTTTGGATCCATGGATTTTGTGATCCGTGATTACTTGCACGCTGTGTATTTTCTGAAGTCACTGTGTTTTCTGGTGATGCAATATTCTCTGGTAATGCTGCTGGAGACGTAACGTTTTGTGGAGATGAAATATTTTCTAGAGATTCTGTATTTTCTGGAGACGTTACGTTTTCTGGAGATGCTTCATTAACTGGGGGCGATGATATCATTGACTCATCAAAATCATTGTCAGTTGAAGGGTTTAGGAACATAAGTTCATCATAGTAAATATACTTTTTGAACTTCTTAGCAGAACTTCCAGATGGTTGATTTTTCATAGAAGCCTTTGTTTTGAAGAATGCATCTCTGGCTGTTCTCCATCTTTGCTGAAGTAGTTTAACTGTAATGATACAAACATTTTTTTTTAGATTCCTGGCTACGGGTCGAACATTTACAGACTTGCACTATTCATTCAGGATGGGAATTGCAACAATAAGTAAAATCGTGAACGAAGTGTGTATGGTAATATGGGAAACACTACACGATGAATGCATACCAACAAGAACCTCTGATATGTGGCAAGATATAAGTAATGGATTTCTAGAAAATGCCAATTTTCCAAATTGCATAGGAGCTCTTGACGGCAAACATATACGAATAGTAAATCCAGCTGGTGGTGGCTCAATGTTCTACAACTATAAGAATTTTTATTCCATAGTCCTGTTAGCTATGTGTGATGCAAACTATTGTTTTACGTACATAAACGTGGGATCATATGGCAAAAATTCCGACTCGTCTATATTCCGAGACAGTACACTTTTCAGGAACTTGGAAAATAACGATCTCAATGTTCTAGAACCAAAGCCATTGCCCGGGACGAATATTCCAGTTCCCTATGTGATTGTAGCCGATGGTGCTTTTGGAATATCTCAAAAAGTTATGAAGCCATATGTGAGAACTAATATGACCCACAAGAAAAAAATTTTCAACTACAGATTGAGCCGCAGTAGACGCTACATAGAATCAACATTTGGTATAATGTCAAACAAGTTCAGAGTCTTTCATACACACTATTAATGCAGGTTTCAATGTTGCCAAGAACATTGTAAAAGCATGCTGCGTGTTGAATAATTTTATAAGAGTTCGCGACGGTTATAGTATTGAAGATACACTGACAATTGAGGGTATGGCAGATATGTCAAATAATTTACCTAGAACCAGGTCCGGAAACGCTTTGCGAGATCATTTTGCAGAGTACTTTTTAAGCCCAGCCGGCAGGGTGCCATGGCAAGACTCGCGTATTTTTTAATTGTTTTATTATTATATAATATTTCATACATTAAATACTTATGTAACTACAGACTACTTTTCAAAGATTAAATACAATAAAACAGAATACAAGTACTTACCATTTTGTTTTCTTTCGTTTTGTTCTGTAATATTTTCAAAGATGACGTCGGCAATGTCCTCCCAAGCTCTATTATTCGCGTCTTTGTTTTTGTATAGAGGATCAGAGGCATCCCACAAACATTTTCTCAAACGAACTTCATCGATCACTCGACTCGTGTCAATATTCGCCATGACTGATGTCGATTGTACTGCGCTGACGCGTGCGCTCCGCACGATACTAAAACGATCACTGCAGGTAGAGGCGCGCAGGTAGAGGTCCGCGCGGATAGCTCCGCGGCACGGACGCGCCATGCGGACGGCTGCGGAGCTGTCCGCGCGGACGGTTGACCGTACGGACCCGTCTGCATTACACTAAAACGCTCCCTTGGCTTAATACAGATCGGTGTGTGCGGAGAGATCCGTACTGACGGTCCGCGTGACACTAAAACCAGCCTTAGAAGTTTATTACCGTAATTACAGATCTAATAGTAATTATTGTGTCTTGTACTGCATGGCGACATGGGATATCTTACTAGTTAGATATCCCACGTCGCCATGCGCAAGCAAATTAATCCCTTACCATAGAGTGTATAATACATTCTATGAAGGGTAATTTTATTATTTATTAATCCAATAGTGAACTTTTATCCAATCAAGAAGAACAATGAAATGAAAGAACGGGTCAACCGGACACGTGATACCTATTGATTACAGTCCAGAAACTAGTAGATACTACTGAAGGAACTAGGTAGGAGAGCCTAGTTGTCCTACGAGAAGGTTCTTCTTGTAAATGATACTCGTTGAGATGCGTGTTTCGGAATGATTTATTTCGCTAATTGTTGCTACTTATATCTATATTTACAAATGTACGTCAAAACCATATCGCGCGCCGTTAGGTATGTGTTGACCAATGGCGACGCGCCGGCGAGCGCGGGCCGCGCGGGGCGAGGGCCGCCGCTTTGGTCGCGGCGCCGCGCCGCCACGATCTCTCGTTTGCATATAAAAGGGTCGCGCGCCGAGAGCGCGACATTTCGCCGCGCGCCATCGTCGAGTGCAGTACGTGTGAACATTGAAGACGCGGCGGGTGCAGGTGCTCCGCCTCCGGCTCCGCTAGCGATGCTTGCTAATAACAAACCGCTTCTTTCGAAGCGACTATGCTCGGCACGGCGTATTACGCCGGGCCGAAATAATTGTTTCTGGCAGAGTCTAAAACGTTTACTGTCTTTTTCAAGACAATATTTATCGTTTCATGTTAACACAGTCAAAAACGTTTAAAACTGTCTTTTTCAAGACAATTGTTATCATGTTTCTGTTGATAACGGAAAGTCTAAAAACGTTGGTATGTGGAAGGTATATGGTAACTGGTTTTGAGGTATGGTAAGGTATTCGATGGTATCGGTAAGGTAAATATATAAGGTAAATTGGTACATGGTTTTGAGTATGGTATTGGTAGGTATGTAGTCGTGAGGTGCGGCTACACTACTATTACAGATAAGTTTGTTTGTCTCGTAGTAAGTGGCTCTGTCTGCTATGCCGCAGATCATGGGTTCGATTCCCACTCAGCTGTCTGATACATAACACAAGCTCTGCTTAACTTGGGACTAGATGGTGTTGTGTGATAGTTATTTAAGTCTGAACGTATTTTATGTTACAAACCATATTTAAAAAAAATATCTTATGTACCTATATGTCCTATGTACAGCCAGTTTATTCAATAATTTAGATTCTATGCTATAAAATAAACTAACTGTGAACCATTGAACTTTTACTACAAAACATTTGTCATTTTAAAATTGGTAGAGTGTAATTGCATTTTTGACCCCTGATTGTACGTATTGTTTATTATTACATTTAGGTGTTTAAATAAAATTTACCTAAACCAATTTAATATTAAAAATATCGTCAGTAATATTTTTGTAATTGTTGTCGATATCAGTAAAGTTTTTATCGATATCAAACCATTTTTTGTCAACACTAGTATTAGTTCCATTCCCCCTCACTTCTGCCGTCAGCGCCAAAATGGCGATTTTCAAATAGGCACAAAAAGTTGGTACCAATAGCCAGTCCAGCGTTATTATAGAGGTCAGTGTCTGGAAATAAGTAGTCTGTTCCGACATTACATAAATTCACAACACATCTGAGGTTTGGACTAAGTAATATCATCATGTGTTAGATTATTATTGTGTTAGAGTTTATGTGATAATTTTAAAAACAAATAAAAGGGATACAAATCGTAGATTATTATTTATTTTTAAATTTTGCGATTCGACTATCCGAATAAGACTGCCGTAATTATGATGCTCTCGAAGTCTCGAATCTCCTTCATTAGAAAATAAGATTGAGTCCTTTAACGCTATTGGTTGTTCTTTGTTTGACATATGCAGTGATTGGACAATTGTGATGTGTTGCTACATTCGCGCCATCTGGTTATCAAACAATGGCAGCACTCATTAAAATTGGTTCTTCTAGTTTACATGTTTTTAGTCTATGCAACGCCATTGTAAAAAGAAAAAAAGTTTCTGTCCGTTGTCCTGACAATTGACTTCAGCTTGACAAGCCTGTATTCTATCAAATAGACAATTTTAAATTCACAATTCACATTTTTGTAGAATTTGTAACAACATTTTGAGATAAGTGGGACGTGTACACTCGATCCTTTTTAAAAATGACTACAATAAGACCATTTACGTGTGAAGATATGTTGAAATTCAACAATGTGTAAGTGCAAAATTAAGAAATATTATGGTCACATTATTTGTGCCGTCTGCGTTTCAAATTACAATAATATATTTATTATGTTTACAGAAATTTGGACCCTTTGACTGAAACTTATGGCTTATCATTTTATACTCAATATTTAGCTCACTGGCCGGAATATTTTCAAGTTGTCGAATCTCCAAGTGGAGAAATAATGGGATACAGTAAGTTATAAATAAATTTTCTCATTACAGTGCAAATATTAAATCTTAAATAATTACTTCTCACGTTAATACCCGTTAAATAATATGTTGTTAGCATGAAACGCGAAAGAAAGTTACTTAAGTACTTTTTTAAGTTATTTTCTATGTTTTCAGTTATGGGAAAAGCAGAGGGACATGGTGAGAACTGGCATGGTCATGTAACAGCATTGACTGTAGGCCCTGAATACCGGAGACTAGGCCTTGCAGCTACTTTGATGAACATTTTGGAAGATGTGTCAGAGAAGTTAGTATATTTATTAGTTACTAACTACTCTCGTGCGTTTTCATCCACTGCTTGATGTGATGTTGTAGCTCATCAGTGTAAGAATTTTGACAATCCGACCAGCGGTTTCAAATATTACCCCCTACATACAAACTTACAAATTTTACCTGTATATAATATTAGTATATATAATTATTAATAATGTGTTTAAACTGTTTTGTGTAGCAAATATGAATTTTTAGGTTTTATCTGTTTACAGGAAAAAAGCATATTTTGTAGACCTATTTGTAAGAGTTAGCAACAAAGTTGCAATTAACATGTACAAGAACTTGGGCTACATAGTGTATAGAACAGTATTAGAATATTATTCTGGAGATCCAGATGAAGATGCCTATGGTAAGATTAAGTTTTGATGTTGTTTTATTTAGTTTTTCCTTTATTTATTACTTTATTATTTTATATTGCAGATATGAGGAAAGCTTGTTCTAGAGATGTCAATAAAAAGTCTGTGATACCATTGACACATCCAGTCCGACCAGAAGATGTGGATTAATATGGAAAAATAAATAAAATAAAATTACAGAAAATCTTTTATTTTGATCTTATTTTAAACATCAAATTAACTTTCATCCTCTTTTTCATTCTGCTCCTGTGGTTGTGGAGGTGTTTGTTCTTCTTCACTATTGTTATCATCATCATCATTATTATCATCCTCCTTTGTTTCTTCTTGATTAGTTTTGGTTTCTGATTCAGCTGGTTGTAAGACTTCTTTTTGTTTACGCCATTGTTTTGCAGCAGCGAGAAGTTTAAGATTAGGTCTAACCATTTCATCTTCTGGGAAAATGTAATCAAATACTTCTTCCCATCCTTCTTCAACACCACTTTCACTAATAATCTTCTGTCTCTTTTTAACTCTTCGTGGCATTTTAGATAGGACCTTTTCAAGTTTTTCTTCCTCACCAATTTCTGTTTCAAAGTCTTTCCATGCTTCCAGTAGAAGTACTCTGGCCTCTTTTTCACCAGCACTTCTGAGGCTATCATTAGCACGCTCATATACACGCCTCGCTAGATCTACATTGATATCATCAGGGTTTTCGGCATTTAATTCAAACTTTGCATAGGAAAGCCAAACTTTTACATGGACTGTTCTCTCCAACAACCTTTCATAGAGTTGTCTTGCCTTTTCTGTTTCTCCTTGTTGTACTTCAAAGTCTATGTAACTTTTCCATAACAGCTCTGGCATATCAAGTCTTGGCTGTCCCACTGCTATTTCATAAATAGCTCTAGCCCTATCTGTATCACCAAGTAATGTTTCTAACTCTGCAAACTTTATCCATGTTATGCAATTTTCTGGGCCATATTCTAAGAACTTTTGATATAATATTCTACATCTATCAAATTCTCTCAATTGAATTTCCATATCAATGTAACCCCTGTAAAGTTTGTCTCTTGGACAGATTCCAAGAGCCATACCTAAGGTCTTTCTTGCTTGTTTTAAGTCTTTGCATCTTACTTCAAATTGGGCATACATCAGCCATATTTTGGAAAATGTAAATATCTTGTGCGGTATTAATTCCAGACATGTTCTATAGACTTGCCTCGTTCTTTCAGTGTCTTCTGCTTCTAATTCTTCATATAGAGCATAATTAATCCACAAATATATGTATCGTCGCCAGAACTGCTTGTCTTTAGACGGAGGCACATTGGCTATAGCTCTTTCATAAGTATCCCTGATGTCATCAACATTTCCTTCATTCTCAACCAGTCTAATATAATCAAACCAAGCATCATAGTTAGTTGGATTCTCAATTACTTCCTGTTCATACATATACTTCCTCTTGTTTACAATAACATCTTCAATACCAGACCTATCCCCATATTTTTTCTCATGTATTGTATATGCTTTGTATAATTCCTTATTTCTGTCTTTTGGAATATGGTCTAATGCATATTTGTAAATAACTCTAGCTCTATCATGTTCTTTTTGATTTTCTTCAAACTTAGCAAAGGCAATAAACAGTCTTTCATCAAGATCTTCATCACCAAAGAACTCAACAGCTCTTTCAAATACTTTTCTGGCACCATTTATAAATCCATGATTTTCTTCAAACCTTGCATATTTGATCCAGTTCTTAACATCAGGATGCACCATAACAAACCTTTCATAGATCTGTCTAGCTCTGTCCAGTTCTTTGTATCTTAGTTCAAAGTTTATGTATGTTTGCCATGCTTGTTCATCTGGCTGCCACTCCATCCAGCGTTCAAATACCTAGAAATATAAAAAGTATTGCTTAATTTGATATATTTTCAAGATAGATTTAGGAAGAGTGTGATATCAATTGAATTTGCACCTGTCTGGCTCCTGCAACATTCTCCAACATTTCTTCCATGTAGGTGTACTTATACCAAAACTGTGAGACTCTTGGCAGTATAGTGACTGCTCTGTCCCACAAGTTTCGAGCATGGTTCACTTGCCTGTTCCTCATCTCCATTTCTGTATACTTCAACCTTAAATTAAATTATAGTTATTTATAATAATGTACGGCCTTCAGTTATAAGATGGTCTTGCAAATTAAAAAACACTTTTATTAGAACTTACCACAGGGTAACATTTCGATGGTCAACATCCAGAGCTCTCTCATAAATTGATCTTGCCCTCTGGACCTGCTTTTGTGATTCTTCCCACTGAGCATATTTGAGCCAATTCCCTATGACCTGAATGTAAAACAAATATCACTTTTGCAAAATATTACATTGAGGTATAATCTTCATGTTAGATTTTAATCAGAACAATATTTTATAGGTTACTAGAAAAAAAATCAATATTTATTTTAAAAGTTGCATGAGAAATTATAGTTCTAGTAAGTTTTATAATTTGTAGCTTACAAGTCTATTCTTCCTGATATTATCTTCAAATGCTTTTCTCTTGCGGTGTTGGTAGTCTCTCAGCTCTTCAGGGTCAGAAATCTTTTGTTTTGGTGGCGGTGGTAAAATCTCCAAGTCTCTTTCTTTAGCTTCTCTTAGAAGTTGTTCAGCAGTAATTTGTATTTCGGCTGGCGCTTTGTTTTTCACCTAAAAATTAGTTATTTGTAGACAATTGTATAAAAATTATAGCATATCCGACTTGTTAAATGAAATATTTACCTTTGCCACTTTGGGCATTTTTGTAGTTTTACTTTCCATGATTCTTATATGTCAAGGTTTATACTACTTATAAATAATTTACGGAAATAACCACACAAGCTAAAATACCACAGAATTATACAAAATAACAGCGTCCACAGCGTGTCGTACGTAAATAAAGTCAGAGTGAGTGTGACAGACAGAATAGACAAATGACAAGATACAGATAAACAGAATTATTATAGAGTAGACGCCATGAAAGGTCTCGGTAGTCATTGTATGGACTTGAAATACCTACGAAAAAAAGGTGCCCACCTACAATCCAAAATGTCGCATAAGATGGCTGCCGTTGCTAGGGTTGTGCCGACTAAGTATTTAACGAGTATCGATACAATTTGAGTAAAAGTTCTACAGGTAGGTATAGTTTTAGGGATTAGCCAGTTGATTAACGGTATTTTTTTATGGGAAATCATCTAATGTCATCTCCGGCCTTTTTCGGGACAGACCGTTACTGACTAAAATCAACTCCTGTTCCTACTTTGCCGTCGGCCTAGCTAGAGCCCGGAACCCGGGGTTAACTTGGTCTCTTGATTGGCTAATGATTTTCTCAAGTCGAATTTGTATTCATATAATTCTACGTAAAGCGTCTTTTAAAAAAATAGGACTGTGTTTATGAACAGCGTTTAATGGAATGGTGAAATAGAAAAAGATAGTGTTTGTTAAATGTTTATCTTTATATATGTGGAAAACCTGTGGGTATTTGTGAAGTGTTCGCGCACAATTTCGGCGCGTCTGATTAAACGATGATATCTTTGAAACTACGTTAGCACAAAATAGATATGTAGTGAAGTCAATCTTATTGTATGTATCTCACTTTTTATTATTACGCTTGGTGGTCGCACTGGGATCGTCGCCAACGCCACTCTGTCAATCGCGCCCGTATAATTATAAAACATGATAATTTGAACTTCTACTTATGTAACTAAAACCAATACCAAAATACTGACGTCTTACTTTAGCGTTACACAAAACTGCGGGAACATCCATTGTTAAAATAGATTATTTAGTATATGTTGAATTTTAAATGGGAGATTATATCGATACTTTTGTGAAATGGTACGTAACTATGCCATATTGACATATTATTGTAAACAACAATTTTTTACTAAAACTGTCTCAAAGACAGAAATAAAAGTAAATATATATACTTTGGCAATAGATTAAAGTATCCGTGACATTTTTTTCTATCTATGTGGATTATTCTAAGTAATATTTGATGAAAACTGTTTACTAACCTATACAAAGACAATTGAGGTTGATTTTCGTTCTTTTTTGCACCACACTGCACAATACAACACACAGGCATATTGTTTTTTTTGTTTCACTATATATATTTGAAGTTTAAAAAAATGGTTCTTTGTAATTTACTGAAAAACCGCAATAATTTAAAACATAAACAACCGTTTGACAGGACAACTACCATGAAACTCAGGTACTCTGAGCGCTTAAGATGGCGGACATGGCACTTACCTACAACTTTGCTAATGTCAAAATGATTTGTTTCCATATTAAGCAACAACTTAAATATTGTTGTCCCTTTTGTCTAATACAGTTATTGCCTTAGAAAGACTGAGAAAGAATGATATTTCATAGTTTGTTTCATATTTCCCTCATATTTGTATAAGCATGTATACAGCTTGGCAAAAAAGAGTCTGACGCGGTGACAGTTGGAATTAAAAAGCGATGTTTGAGGCAACATTGCTTCACTTGTCAACTGCTAGTACATTCTTTGTCAACAGTGCGTCTTTTCTAAGTGTTTTTCAAAGATTTAAAATATATATCAACTTTCGCTAGAAAACTAACGATTTAAAATGAAGAAAACTATTCGTAGTAGTGGCAGATCAGTGATTTACCACGTTTATTTGCGGTGTTTGGCCGAATCTCAAGCGGGACAAGTTTTGTCCGATATAGGAAGTGTTTATCAAAGAACTGCTGATATGACAGGTATTTATGCACCTTAAACGAGACATTATACCTTAAATATGGTCTTAAATATGTTTTCGGTGCGTTGTTTTGTAGATACCCAGATTTATGTAACTTTTATTGTTATTTATATAAATTGAAAATTTAGGTTATGTTTTGTAGTTTGACATGTTTCGTATACGCCAACCTTCAAGACAAGAAACTTGTAGTTTATTGAACATGGATCTAATAATAAAATACTGTTCTTATTTTAGGTAAATCTGTCAACACAATAAGAAAAATTGTTCAGGAAGGTGAAAAAAAATAATGGTATTTTTTCAACACCGGGTAAACATTGCAAAGGTCGCCCGAGTAAAGATTTGGATGATTTCGATTTGTGTGCAATTAGACAAAAGGTTCATTTCTTTTACACTGTTTAAAAGCAGGTACTTATGGTTTATACACAGACTACTCCAGATTTCATTAATTAAAAAAAGCTGATTTATAACAAAATATCATATTTCAGGTGCCTACATTGAGAAATTTACTGCCGGTAGTTAGAGAGGACTTGGGTTATGATGGAAGCCGTGAACATCTCAGAAAGATATTACATTCTCTGGGTTTTTCATATAAGAAGTGTAAAACGGACAGATCAGCTCTAATTGAGAAACCTCACATAGCAGCAAAGCGGGAGCAATATTTGAAAATCATTATGGACAACAGAAACCTGCCTGAAGAACTACGAAGTTATATTCATTCATCATATAAGCTGAAAAAATGTTGGCAGTCAGTTGATGTCAGCGGAGTGAAACACAATATTTCAAAAGGCAAGAGATATACGATTCATCTTATTGTTTTTTTTTTTGTTTTTAATTAAACTGAAACTTCAAACAAAACGTGTTCACTCATTATCCTTGTAAACTATTCGTCAATTACTAATGTTGCGTCCAGATCTGGCGAATGCGCCGTTTGCGAACGGCGTATGTGCATTTCGTACATGGCTCTTTTTGTTTTTATAATAACTATCGTGAGACATACTAAATTAACTAAAATTCGCGGGTTACTCACGTGTACGGAGTAGGCTGCGCGACGTCGCCGCGTCCGCGCACGCTGCTCATGAGGAAGAACCCCTCTGTGGTTCGAAACTAGTAGAGCTTTTCTCAACATGTACACGTAAGTAACCCGCGAATTTTAGTTAATTTATGGCTCTTTTTTCCAAATTTCTGCGTCCGCGTCGCGCGCGCTTCTTACAAACAACACATTCACCAGATCTCGATGCACAACAACAATCTCACTGTTAGATTGCCCTTGGGGCATTTTATCTTTATGTGAGTGGTGGCGCGGTCTAGTAAGTCTGAACCGATTTCGTACAATGCTTAAGCGTTCTCTATTAACATTGTTAATACTGGACATTAAAGCGTTCAAAGGACTGCACCCCTCACTTAGGATTCAATCCTGATTGAAATCATGTTCTCAAAAATAACAAGTATCAAAATCTGTCGAGTCGTAGTATTCCGGGTTGCCACAGTTGCGATACTGGTGACCTCATTAATTCCACACTCTTTTTTGCCAAGCTGTACTTCTATAGTAACACGGCGCCTCTATATATTTTCTATCTCAATGTCGCCATTCTAATACTGCTATTCTGTTTAATGCTTTGTATTGTTTTCTTTAGTAAAAAAATATGATTGTAACAAATGTGTTTTTTTCAATATTAAATATGTTATAGTATTATAGTTATTATATAAATTATGATATTTTGAGGTGTAGTGTTGAGCTGTACGAATAGACGAAGACATCTGACTGAAAATACAGATAATACAAATAAAAACAGATATAGACCTTAAACGCCCAACGGCCCACAGGGGTCCCTCAGCGATGTCATTTAGTTTAATAGAAAGATTTATATAGGCATCTGCAGATATTAGTCATAAGTAGTAGTAGTAAACATCTATAATATATATAGCTCAAAGAAATACGACTGGTTATGTAAAAAAAATGAACAGTCATAAAATAAGTACTAATCACTATTCATCATAATTACTTTACTATACATAGCTTATAACTTTAAAACTGGGAAATCTAATAAACCAGTAAATATTCCCTATTTGAGATGTTATGATGAGAACCATTAGGTTTTGTAGTACAGTATTATCCAGGTCCACAATTTTCTCTTGTTTACTATAGGACGCAACGTCATTACCATAGATTTAGTATTATATGTAGGTCTGTGGTCATTACATGTTAATGCCAGTGTCTCTGAATTACGTCAAAATGACGTTTATGTCATAGTAGAGGTTAGAGGATTCTGTTTGAATTGAAACATAACCTCAATAAATGTGATGTGATGTGATACATTTTACAAATATAATAATACACGCCACATATGAAAGGGTTAACAAAATGTTTTATTCACTATCGCGAATAGTCACACAACGTAATTTATGTAGGTTTTCAGTTTGGTTTATCTTAGATGACTGTAGAGAAGTAAGATTGTTTGTGTGTAAGATTTTATATTTTATTACTAAACCCAATGTTTTGTTACAGTTGCGAGAGTTGGTTTAAGAGTAATTAGCCAGAATGCTTCTTCCGTAAAGGAGAAATACAATGACGAGCAAATAGAATACATTAAATCAATTGCTGAAACCAATCTAGAAGATTGGAGTAGTTTTAAAAACAGTATACTAGCAAAACAAGGCAATGTTAATCAAAAAAACATAGATGCGGTGATACTAAAATATATGACATCGTTAAAAAAGTACAATGTTGCATTATCATTTGCCCAACATTTAAAAAGTAAAGAGGAAGAATTGTCTTTGGGTACAATCAATAGCCTACTACATTTGTATTATGAAATATCAAAGAATCAGAAACTAACAGCGGACCAAATAAAATTTATTTTAGAAGCCCATAAGAGCTTGCATAGTAAATACAAAGTTCTAGAGTATAGTACATGTGAGCGTCTCTTGCATGCACTGTGTGCTATAAATGAAATAGAGAAAGCCGTGAAACTACTAAGTGACATACATCTAACCACAACTCCATCACATTCAGCCTATAGTACCCTAGTAGCAACCTTCTTCAACCTCAATAAAAAGAAAAAGGCATTAGAATTAATTGATGAAAGTATAAAGAATAAAAGGCCTCTACTTGAAAATGCTTATGGAGCTTGGATAGACTATGTTCTTAGAAAATATAAAGACAAGAAAACTATTCAGAAATATTTTGATGAAATATTTTCATTTGTGGCTAAAAATTGTGCTGTTATTCCTTTGAAGACTGCTAATAAATTATTGGAAGTATATGACACTTTAAACTGGAATGCAAAATTTGCTAGGATAAACAAAGTAGAGTAAGTAAAAATAAATTTCACAATTACCTACAAATTATGGAAAAAAGATATCATTATTTACTCCACTATGAAAAAAGTGGCTGTTTGTGCTGGGTGTTATAACAATGATTAAATATTAATAAATATTTTTTTAGTGGCCAGTGTTCATGCTGTAAGGAAAAACTGGACTGCTTAACATTAACCAATGATGAATTCAACATACTGCAAGGGATAGTTAAAGACAAACTTATAGTAGGTTCAGATTTATTTTTAAAAACATCACCTGAAGAACTAAAGAGCTTTACCGAGTTTGTAGACAAAACTGCACCTTATGACATTGTTTTAGATGGACTTAACATAGCTTATGGTGTTGGTATGGCTTCACATTTCGACAAGATGCGGTTTTTGAACCAAGTTGTTGATCATTTTGTGAAACAGAACAAAAAGATACTGCTTTTAGGCAGACAGCATATGATGAGATGGAATATGAAGTTAATGCAACAAATTATGCGGAAAACTAAGTATTTCTTTACTGATAATGTGTAAGTTATTTGTTTATTTAGATAGATACAACTTAAATGAAAATAACTGATTAATGCTGAGATTTTGTCGGTGGAACCAATCCTAAATGTTGTTTTGTTAATTCACAGTTCTCAAGATGACCCATACTTTATAACAGCAGCACTGCTCAGTGGTCCCCATACTGATATAGTCTCCAAAGACCTGTTGAGAGGACACAAGTTCCTGTTAAAAGATGAAAGTTTAATGCACATTTTCAAAAGGTGGCAATGGCAGCACCAATGGATGATATTTCAGAATCCTCAAAAAAGACCTTCCATTCAGGTAAAATGCCTTACTTTTTCTTTGGTTCAGTGGTTGCAGGTGTGTCAGTTGACCACATATTGAGAAAACATCCTGAATTCTGGGGTCTACGCGGCGATGTACGTTACCTCGGTATATGGTTTAGCATGATCCTTCTACCTTACAGCTTCCTGGAAGTTGCAAACAATGACATTATTACGTGGCCATTCTTCGCCACAAATGACTGCTTTTAGACGAAAATTGGAGACCATAGCCTAACTGCCTTTAAATATTTTAATGTGTTAGTAAGAAGGGTTTAAGAAGGGAGGCCTAATCTACAAAAGATGTATAATGGAATGCACTCTATAACTTCTCTGGAGCTGTGCATGTAGCTTAGATTGCCTACCATCACATTATTTGTCTACTTGTTTGCCTGGCATGTTTTTTTTTATGTATACATATAGTATGGCAAACAATACGGTTGTTTCCAACTAGTCAAATTCAATACTTTTATCCAAATGTCAAAAACGATACTTTTCTATGAAAATTGTATGAAACATTGAATTATGACGTCATAGAATTTTTGCGTCAAATAGCTTACTTATTTTTAAAAAATTAGCTAAAAAATATCTAAAACTTAGTGTATCGATCGATCGATGAATAAAAGTATAGTTATTTTTCAATATTTTATTGTATTGAAAAATAACGTCGAATTAATTTATTTTTGACCTAGGAAACTACCCAATTAGTCGGATTACCTGATGATAAGCAATCAGTACCGTCCATGGACACCCCAATAACGAAGAAGTTACGAGTACGCCTTTTGGGGATTAAGGAGTGGGCAGGGACTGGGACCGGGACCTCACACACACCACGGTGTGGTTGTTTCACGCCGGTTTTCTGTAAGGTCGTGGTATCAGTCCGGCCAAGCCGACTCGTTCTTGCCTAAGCGCACTCTATTTCTAAAATAAAACCTTTATCTGTATGTTCTAAAGTCCAACTATTATTGCAGGCTCCATTGATGTTTACTCCCTGTGCACAAAAGAAAAACAACGTCTGGCATCTGCCGTATGAGCAGGAAGCGTCACCAGTTATAGCGCACGTTAATGACGGAGTACCAGACTTATACAGTTGGATGTGTTTAAGAATTAATAAATAAATATGTTAAAAAGTTCTCCTATTTCACTTTATTGTACACCTAGCCCAATCAAAACAAGCTTTCAAAATGTGTATGTACATTACAACTATTCAATACATAAAAGAAATTTAAGGCCAATCAATTATTAATCAATTAATGATAGTGAGATTTTTTTTAAATGTTTTATCGGATTTAAAAGTAAGTTTTATCAAACAACCTGCGCAACGCCTCTTCTTCGCATGGGTGCAATGCTAATACTTTTCTACACTATTTAATGGATGTTATTTTATTATACATATAAGCCTACCTATTCAATCATTCTATATATTGGAAAACAGCATCAAAATCAGTTACGTAGTTTCAAAGATTTAAGCCTACCATATAAGTATGTACATGGATTAAGGGAGAGAGAAAACGATGTTGTTTACTTGGAATACAATTTTCATTCGAATAACGATTTAGTAATCGCGTTTGTAACCGCTCGACCTACGCTACTGCTTGAGTAGGTAACAGCAGTTTCCTCAGGAAACAACCCGGTTGTTTACTTCATGGGTAGGTACCTAACAGAAAGGAGTTTTTATGCAAATTGATAGAACACAAAAAAGGACCAATTTCGTCTTCCACCACTGGCTAGTTAGGTAACCCATGTTTACTAAACAATGTCAAAATACTATTATCACCCGTCAAACGTCATTAGGCAACGCATCAAGTGATTTTCGGAGAATATTATTTTTAAATTATCAGTGTTAATTTTACTTATGTTATCATGCCAACCGCTTCAAGGAAAGTAGACCCGAAGGATAAAGTTAAGGGGTCCAAACAGGACCTTATTTCGAGGTCAGGGGAGAATGTCAAGCTCGTGAGAATGGATGAAGGTAGGTATCTATTTATTTACTATACTTACCTACCCATATAAAAATGAAAGTGCTTCTTGTAGCTGTATTCTTACATATTTATGCATGTCAGTTATGTATACCTACTTACATAGATAACGCAAACATACCTACATGGTACCCAGGTATTTTCCGGTAGGTATCTATTTCTTCTTCTCTGGTACCGGTAAACGTGGCGCACATTGCCTACGCCCAAGGTGCACAGATAGACGATCAAACTATTCGTGTCTGTGCCTAGTAGGCACCCAGCAGCCCTTATGTATTCTAGGTCTAGGTTATAGGTAAGCGCTGCCTATATTGTGGATATTGAATTGTAATTTGATTTAAAAAAAATCCATCATGTCATTACGTTTGAGGATTTCAGGAGAGCACACGGGGGAGTTTTTATTCAGTAAGTCTGACACTCCCTCTTCTTCTGCTCACCCTGGGTGAGGGAAGTCATTGGATGATTTTCCCCAACGTTTCTTGATTTCTACCTACAACAAGGGTTTTTTAATCTAATTAGTAGATTGCATCATTATTTAAAAAATGACCAACAAACGCTAAAAGTTAAAAAAGGCATAGGTAGGTAGTATACAATAATCTTACTCTAGTAAGATGAATTCTAAAAGAAACTTATAGGTACAAGTAGACAGGTAGGTACCGGTCGCCTTAAATGATATTGTACCAATATTATATAATACTTCCGAAGGAAGGAAATAAGTGGCACAGCAATAAAAACCCATTCCTTTCATTAATAATGATAGCGAGCTTGACTACCGTCCGTTCTCCAGTTCCATAGGTAGATATGTATCTCATTTTAGTAGATATATTGAAAGTATCTACCTACAATAAGTATTAGATATCTAAGTCTATAGTTTTGTTATTACTTATTACAGTAAGGAACCTAAGTGTATTTTCGAAAAATAGAAAATCTTCGGAAGTTTAAGTTTTAGTAGCGACATGACTTAGATAGATCCCCATTAAGAAGATAAAGCTAAACATTTTGTCCTAATGCAATACAGACCTCCACTGATTACATGATTTTCGGTAAATCCAATTGTGGATTAGGTAGGTACCTACCTGTACATTTCTATACTGTGCTACCTGGATTATGATGACCTGATTTATGATGTTGCTAGACATAAAGTTAGGTAGAAGCATTACAAAATACCTATTTCTTCAGGGAAATAAGAATCTGGTCTCTTAAAATCAAACTAAGATTAATTAGGTAACCGGTACCTATACAATCAAAATTCACAGAACCGTATAATTGCTCCAGCAGAAAGCGGCAATAAATTGTCTCCCCGAATTCGTCGGAATATGGAACGAGTGGAGATGTTGGCCCGGCCGAATTCTCGTCGACTTCGCTCGTTATGGGACGAAAAGTGTGCCATACTACCACGAGAGCGAAGGGACAAGATCAAGAGTGCTTTGGAAGAGGACTACTTCTTAAGTCCTGAGTACGAAATACTACGTATTTACCCTCTCACTAAGTATCCAGTAGGTCTCACTAACTGAGATAGGTACGGTGCCTATCTTGGTTTTACGTATTATTCGATGCGAGCCTAATTCTAAGGAACCTGGTCATATAAAATTCAGATTCAACATCGGTGAAGATTGGTAAGCTACCTAGGAAATCTATTCAGTTTTTAATAGGGACTACCTACAAGTTTTTAATAGGACCTACTTACAAACTTTGAACTACTAACCTATCTCTTAGTATCTACCTACCTAGTTACCAAATGCGCTCAGGTAATGCAAACATTGTTGATTCAGAAAGTCACAATCGAAACTATAACAATATGATTTGCATAAGTGTTTTGATAACTATTCGGATTTCGTCGAAACGATTAGGAAATAGTTGTATTCAAATTGTGTGAATGTTCATTCACGCATAGCCGTTTTGTTTGCCTATTATGAAACTGGCGTAGGTCATTCATAGGTTTACAATTTCATTTTATACAGATGTTAAATGGTAGGTAGATTAATTTCGAAACTGTGGCCTGAGTAACCTGTTAATACATAAATTAAATCTTTCTACACGATCACTACAGGAGTTTTCCAATTCGAAAGTTAGGCTTACAGATAGTAGGTAAAAATAGGATTTTTAGAATTTTTCCTCGTTTATTTTCGCCATAAACTTAAGTAACCTACCTATAATCAAAAAATCTTTGGTCACCTAAGGTGTGGAGGGGATGAATTTTAGTTGTTGATTTTGTTGTATTCTTGTACAGACAAACTGAGCAATACTTCCAAGCGTTTTACGAGTCATCGAAACGATGGTCTGGGCCAGGCGGTATGGTCAGCCGCAAGGAACATGCAGACAGAAGCAAGGAGCTGCGGTTGAGGCAGAAGTGGCTGGTCAACTTTAGTGCTCAGGTTCTTACCTTTAGATACAAAACTAGTTTGTCGTTTTGAGCCTTTACGTAAATGCAACTCGTAATTTCCAAAAATCGTCGTATATTACGGATTTTTTCCAAAAGATTTTCCAACATTTGGTTTTGCTTATGGTTATTTTACATGGTTTCAGAATATTGGGACACCATGTTATTATGGACAAATTAACAGGCAAAAGCTTATATCATAAAAAAAAGGTTTTATTAAAGGATTACCTATTTATAGTTGTGATATGTTCAGGTGGCGTACCGATTATGTGATTACATAGCTAAAGGCCAAAAAGAGATGTTGGTGTCTAACCGCCTGAGAAGTATCGCCGACGTGGTTCTCGAGAGAGTTGCTGAAATTCTCGGTTAGTAGGTACCCAAGTAAATAATATTGAAAAACATTTACTCCAAAAAAATTAGATACTTTCTGGAATAAAAAGATATATATAATTTTAAAATATAAGTATGGAGATATATGTATTATTTTAAGTGTAGCAGACCCATGCCTCAGCACGAATGGATCGGCTCGACCGGAGTGAGACCACGACCTCACAGAAAACTCACATGAAACAACTACAGCGTTGTATTTCGCCGTGTGATTGGGGTTACTGGAGGCCCAATCCTCCCTGTCTCCGAATCACAAAACCTGCAAATCCCTTATCCCTGTAACGTCAACAACGCACTCATAACTCCTCCATTGTCCATGGGCGGCGCTGATTGCTTACCAACAGGTAATCCGTCTGCTCCTTTGTCGTCTTATAATATAAAAGGAAATGTCTTAATAATACCTGCCTTGTCCGAAATGGAGTAACCCAGAAATCAATGAAACTAGCCAGCTAAACTATATGTAAGTATTTTTTTTCTAGGTGAACCCAAGCCAACTCGCACGAACCCTGGCCGTCTCGCTCGGTTTATGGTAGCTATATCCGATCGTATCGCGGTATGGATTGAAAACGCCGTCTACCGAGCTGACGCCAGCGAAACCGAATCGATCAAGGGACCCGATGAACATATACGACTTGACGCCGAAAAACCACTCATTTGTTGATGAAAATAAAATACTAATTTTAATGAGCGGGTAAGTCCATTCAGTGGTAGGTAGGTACTAGGTACTTAAGATTTAGACAAACTTTATAATTGTTATAAACGTATGTACTTATTCGGGTTCTTTAGCTTAAGGATCTTTACCCAACGATTGAATAGATTGGGATTAAACTTGTAATTTGCTACTGTGAGGATTTATTTAGAAAGACTATTTAGGAAGAATTGAGCTGTAGACTGATGCCATCGTTAGAATCGCGAGCAGCTAGTAGATGCAAAACCGAGTTGACATTCGACGTTAAGGACTAAGCCTTAAGGCCTCATTTACAGAGATGTGCGTGTTCATATGTTTGATGATTCAGTTCACTGCTGAAATGTTCGATAAATGCACGACGTACACTTAGAACCTTAGGACTTTTAGCTCAGCCCAAGGGCCTGACCCCCACTGTATGCTCCATCATGTTCTCCGGGTGGTCATCAGTAACAAGACTCGGTTGAATCCCAAACAAGTAGGTATCTCTCACTCCCACCCTGTGCTGCGAGCTGCTGTGCTGTGCAGTGGATGTGATTGATAATAGGGTCGATATAATAAAACGAATGTTTTAAAATCTAATAATAGCTCTAAATATGTTTCAAAGTTACTTACATTTATTGCATTCACACAACTTAGAGTAATGTACAAAACAGCTTATGTATCTACGAGTACTTACACTGTAAATGTCAACTAGTATCTGCAGAATATTAATTTAATATCTGATGCAAAAATAATACACGTAAATAGGCTGTAATAAATTGATAATTGGTTTCAATTCTTTAATATAGATACAAAACTTGTTTATAAATGCGAGCGATCTGTAGGTCCATTTGATAATCATTTAAATAAATTATGGAAATACAACATTCTATTGGAGTAGGTACCTACTATGAAGATAATATAATGGAATTTTATGACAAATATTAGCACAATAGTGCATAAATCGTTTTAAAGTAAAGTCATGTAATAATTTTACATTTCAATGGCAGCCTCCACCTATCAATAGAATTTATGACTGATTAACAAGCCCAATGTTATGTATGATACAATTTATCCTGGTCAAACAAAACTAGTCATTATCAACGTACGTAAAAAATATGAAAGGTTGGGGATTAAACGTGCCTGTTGTAGAATGCATTCTAAATTAAATTACAATGGTAAAACCGAATGCATTGGTATATTTTTTGTTCGTACTTACAGGCAAAAAAAAACAAGAGTGATAAGTTCCAGATTTTTTTATAAAATTTGCGACGCGGTACCATAATAAATTATCTTCGCGTATTTTCTTCTATGTGGACAGCTCCTAAATGTTCATTAACAGTTTTGGCCCAATCAAACATTTTAGGTGGCTCGAGAAATAAAAAAGGCACTCATCTAAATACGAAGTTTAGGTAGTGGGCATTTTGGCTTTATGTTTTGGTTCATTTTGGTGTACAGCCTTAGGACTGGCTCTGCTTTTTTAAAATAAACAATTCCTTTTTTTAATATTAACAGTTCCCAGCATAGTAGCGTTTACTGAAACGGTCAAGCTTAAATTTCGCAGTTTAAAAAAGTTAAGCATTATCTTATTCCGTTCAATATGCAGTACAACACACGCCGGAACAGTATATGGGTATTTGCTACCACCATCCTACTTGTAGAAAGGCTCAGAGTCGTTCAGCGCGCGATGGAACGGGCCATGCTGCATACTCTCTTTGCGCGACAAAACCTAAAGTGTGGGAATTCGATAAAGAACTAAAGTTACCTCATAGCAATGGCTAGGCTACTAGCCTATCCTATATCTTAGGACGGACAGCATCGTCAGAGTTGCGGAGAGCAAATGGATGCAGTTGGCGAGTTGTGGTTCGACGTGGAGGACTAATGGGGAGGCCTATGTTCAGCAGTGGACGTCTTCCGGCTGATAACGATGATGATATTGCTTGTTACTGTCACATAATAAATGCCTGATGATTTATAAACTTTGTTAAATAAACGTTACATATCTATAAGCTAGATTTAATTAAAACGTGTGCATACTTCCATAATAGGCATACAATGTGTAAATTCAATGATTAAATTATGAGCTACGCCTACATTTCGATCCAGTTATGTATAATTATATACACAACCTTATATACCAGCGTTTACTGACATAACTGACTTCTAATAGACAGTTATTTAATTTGCATACTTGAAAACAAAGAGGGTAATGTGTTTAGCTGTAGGTTAGGTGCTCATATGAAGTTATGGTATCTGTTTTATGATCATAGTAATTGTTGAGTACCTGTTTGTATAATATGTGATGTGTTGTATATGACACGTTAGAACTTCATGCGTTTGTAAATATACGAATACGTTATGAATATATTGAGCACTTTTGCTGATGATGATCGGAGTTCTGAATTCAACTAGTGGACGCAAAAAAAATTGTTTTTGGGATTTGGTATCAGCATGGACGAAAGTATTATTTTTTATGTTTTCGATAATGTGATTTTTAGACTTAGTAAGAAAGATTTAGGTAATGTCAAGCACGATAAAAACCCTGATAATCCTGTCTAAAATTAAAAAAAAATTGATCAGAACCAATGAAGTGTGGGAGAGCCATGCTTCGGCACGAATGGGTCGGCTCGACCGGAGTGATACCACGGCCTCACAGAAAACCGGCGTGAAATAACCACAGCGTTGTGTTTCGCCGTGCGAGTGAGGTTACCGGAGGCCCAATCCTTCCCCTCCCCCAATCCCTCCTCAATCCCTAAATCTCCAAATCCCTAATTCCTAAAAGGTCGGCAACGCACTCGTGACTCCTCCGTTGCGCGTGTCCATGGGCGGCGCTGATTGCTTACCATCAGGTAATCCGTCTGCTCGTTTGCCGACCAATTACATAAAAAAAAATGACGTCTTCCCAGATTTGACTCAGCATGTACTGATTTTCTATCAGCCCTCTTAAACCATCGATAAGACTAGTAATGCCAGTTATCGAATATTTATTTATATTAATAAATATGCAGGAGTTACTTTTATCTAAGTATTTACAAAGCTTAGTAATAAAGTTGTCCTGGCTGGTGACCTTCGTAGGCCCTATATAATACGTCTGCCTTTCGTAGGACGATATAGTTTGCTCTGAAACTCAGCAGCAGTTCTAACCAACCCATCAAAATGAAATACTTCGTGAGTTATCACATACATATATTCAATTAAAAGTTTCCATTGGACTCCTGGAAGTTGTTTGAACTCGAACTCCCTTTGAAGAAGTCAAGAGGTCCTGTGAAACAAAAAATCATTCAGGCCCTATAAGTTAATTTTTACCTACCTGGACACACTACAGGAAAAGCAAACCTTCATAGTCTCTCTTTTAATTCGTATTGTCCATTACATTATTGTACATTAGTGGTTTTGGAATTCCACTTTAATATTATTGGCCTTCTTGTCTTCATTCCCATTATTCGAAATTGGCAGAAATTGACATTATCTCGTTCTTTCTTTAAGACAGGGGTCATCACACAGAACACTCTCTTTTACATTAGTCTTTACGTACGTATTTTTTGGTCATCTTCGTGCTATGAACTGGAGAGTATTTTTTTGCAGTTGGTCTTCCTGGTCGTTTGCGTGGCTCTGGCCGCCGCTTCACCTCAGTTCATTGCTGCCTGGCCGGGATACGCAGGCTTTGCTCCCGCTAGCAGGGTACGTATTATTTTTTGTATCTGCAAATTAAAGATAATGTAACCAAAAAAGGAAATTATTAAACGTCAATCGATGGTGCTCATATTATCTATGTGAATACATTTGATAGCGCTTGTTTAGAATACTAATTGACTTTTTTTTGGTTAGAAATTATATATTAGTTACCATTAGAAACGTAATAGTAAAAATCCTTTCGCGAACTTTAGAGATTAGGTATTCTTATCAACTGTAGGTAAAAGGAAACCTTTTTACGTTATAATTGTGTTTTATGTTTGCAGACTGTTGTTGCCGGACCCACAGTGGTGAACGAAGCTCCTGCCCGCTTCTTCGCTCCTGGTTATCCATTCTTCTAAGCCGGCACTCTCTCCCTCAAATTTCAACCCTAGCAACTTGCACTTTGTCACACTTTGGCCCAAACCGCTTTTTGTATCTTGTATATAAACATTTATAGTAACATGTATATCAAAAATTAAAAGTTTCGTTTATATAAATTGTGTTGTTTCATTATGGTTGATCTAACGTCAATTGTTATAATTTAAAATGTGTAACTAAAATAACAGTATGAGTCCATTATTTTATCCAAAAAGAATATAAAAGTCTGTGTTCAACCTAGATTTGGACCAAAAATCTCTTGTCAAGTAGCGATTGCGGCCACTCGACCAGATGCAGACTAAACAAATAAACAAATAGTTATCAATAAAACGAATGCCTAGTTAGATAACAGATCTAGCTCAATTGTAACATAGCGTAACAAATCGACAAGTTAGGTGTGAAATGAGTTCGTTCCTGTATCAGATGTTTAAGAGCTTGTTTTACGCAAATGTTACGTTCACTACAAAATAAACCTTTGTCTTATATTTCGATAAATTATTGTCCAAGTTATTAAGGATTACCTTCTACTGCAATGACCCTTGTGTGCTTCTTTAGTTACAGATGTCTATATTCAACTAAACACATCAAAAAATTCCGGTTAAAATAAATAAATTAAAATTACCAAAGTTAGGGAAAAGTCAAATTTTTGTGGAATACTTAGGTTTACCAGGTTTACCATAAGAATTAATAAGGTGTAAATAGTCTCCATCGAGGCCGTGCGTGCGTCAAAAGTATAGGTGGTCACAGAGTTGAGTTTTTCTAAAAGATTGTAAATTCAAAAAGTAAATCGCTACATAGCTGTAGTTCTTAAAACTTTCCTTATATAGTTTTTATAAGAAAATAAAGTCGAGAGACGATCTCCCGCCACCGTAGGCGCAGGTCTGCTAACGACGACGAGTAGGTAAAGGTAGCTCGCCGCCCGACCAGAACCAGACCCGGGGGTACGGCGCGTAGCTTTCCGCGCGTGCCTCAAAGAGCCAATAGACTATAGGCGGGACCGTACATATAGGGCTGAGTTTCAGCTAGGGTTGCGGGTAAGCCCAATGTGGTACCGCTGCTTCCGTCTAAAGCAGGAGAAGGAGGAGTTTGTAGTCAGTAAGAGTCTGACACACCCTCCCGCCCCACCCTGGGCGGGAGTAGTCATTTGATGATTTTCCCCTCACAAAAAAAAACAAAATACATGGATATATAAATACTCTGTATGACATGTAAATACTCTTTATGATATAGGATAACGCTGTACAATTTTGGGAAATGTTTATTTGGTGGTGATTCAATTTCTGTGCGTGTCGCAGTCCTAACATAACCTAACCTGCCATTCTGATAGCTAGTCTGTTTTCATGACAATGCCTTCAACTTTTAAATAACAGCTTGAATGAGAAACTGCTGGAAAGTTCAGTCTGTGGTAGTCTATTGGATCTTTGAGGCGCGCGCGGAACGCTACTCGGCGTACGCTCGGGTCTGGTTCTGGTCGGGCGGCGAGCTACCCTTACTCGCCGTCCGGAGACCCGCGGTCATATATCCATGTAATATAATTAGCTGCAAATTAAAACGCATGATTGATAACTAGGTCTGATCGCGGACAGGTGGGCATGCAAATGATAGCCGTAACTTCCCAGAAACAATGAATTACGTGTATAAATCAACACGAATGCTAGTAAGTATGCAAATATCTTGAATTACTAAATTATTAGGAAAGTTTGCATTGTTGTCAAGTTAGCTTATGTTGTAGAGGTAGATTAAAACAGGACAAACATTATATACATGTTGTTTCTGTTACTGTTACGTACAAATCACTGTTCTCAATACCTGTTACTAAAATAACAGGTGTTGCGAACAGATCACATTCTTATCTTTGATATTGTATGGTAAATCACTGTGATTGTTAACGAAGTTAACAGATTACCAAATCATCTGTGTCATCAATCGTCCAATCATCGTGATTCCTGCTGTGATTCGGCTGTGAAATGATATTTGTAATAACTGTTACTTTTGTCCGCGGGAACTATTTTTTGTGTGATACCTGATACTTACTGTGACGTTAAATACGCCTCACACCTCGTCGTAGCTATTTCACGCATCACCAGCCTTCATGTGCCTACCGTTGAACAAAGACTTCTTACACGGAGAAAGAATGAGCATCACCAAGCTTGCTCAATACTCAACGCAGAATTGTAGGTTCAGATTTTGTCACGATGTTTTCTTTCATCGTATGGCAGTGAGGTCTAAAAATCTTAGATAGTAACTACATATATTATTACTTGGAATAAATCCCATTCGAGTTCCATCCAACATCCATTTCCAGTCCGCATTCTCATACATGAGAAGCCTTAAACCCTGGGTTACCACGACACTCCTTGTATAAAATTATACCCATAATAATAAATATTAAATTCAAATCGAAACATGATAACATCGAGTTACCTACGTGTTTTATTGTCTGAAGGAAGCACACATAACTTTATGGTAAGCTCCATGTTATACCGGACCCAATGACATATCGACAGCCTTCCCTGTAGACTTTACTATTGAGAAAGTCTTGAAAAATCGAAAAGACCAAATAGTTTTCTACCAACGAGGTACCGTATCAGATAGTTAATAAAAAAATAACGTAGTAACTTTCATCAGAAGCGGAAGCAGAAGATAAAGCTTCAGGCAGAAAAGCAATAATAAAAAGAATAGCGTCTTTCTGTTATGGTACAAATCCCATGGCTGGGCTTTATTGCATTTGCATTGCATTGCATTAGGATTCAAAATTACGGAAAATGTTGATCGGTAAAGTTTTTAAGTTTTTTTTTGTCTACCTAAAGGATATAGGAACAGATGAGACCTAATTGGGCCGATGTCAAGCCAGGGTTGCGAGTGCAAATTATAAAAGCAACAGCGCGCAGGCACAGCCCGTCAGCGTGAACCCGAAAAAAAAATATTCAGTAAGAGTGACTGACACTCTCTCTCTCCCCACTTTGGGCGTGAGAAGTCATTTGATGTTTTGGCCTCCTCAAAACGTGGCGTATAGGTGCAAATGCTTGGTTTATTTATTATTTTTTATCAACCTACTACAGTAAAATTAATAATTTTCATTTCAAGAGTACAAAATAAATAAACTTTAATTGAACTACTAAGTACGAACAAGAATGAAAAGAAAAAAACTGTTCTTTGTTACTTAATCACCTACAAACACATACATAGAAGCAACTTGATGACAAACTAGTCCCAATAAATTATTATGCGGACTATAACTAGAGCACAGTAATAATTAACTTTGTATATTTTTTCCTTACAACTGGTATTTTCATTAGATATTCAGATAGGCCGTCTGACCTTAGGAGGGTCTAGGCTTATGTTAGGCTGCCTACATTGCTAGATGACCTTCAAGGGCCCTATATATGCGTCTGCCTTCCGTAAACCAGTATAGTTTGCACTGAGAAGGCTCAACAGCAGTTCTAGTGAGATCTACCAACACTGCCATTAAAATGAAATACCTCGTAAGTTTTTTTTAATAAATTTTAAACATTTTTGCCAATTTTTCAAGTATTCGTTTTCATTTCATAATATACTCGGTATAGATTATTTAGTATCTATCTATATTTTATTTATGGATGGTTGAGAGCACCTTATATCCTTATATATGCATGTATATATTTTTTGTGTAAGGACAAGCTTATAGATTAAAGATTACCTAATGCTAAACATGGATACTCGCAGCACCACAGCAGTTAATAGTGCGAATGCGTTGCCAGTCTTTTGGGGTATGGGTTACAGAGATTTAGGGATTGTGGGACGGTAAAGATTGAGCTCTGGTAACCTCATTCACGCGACGAAAAACTACGCTGTGCCATTGTATCATTTCGGTCGAGACGGCCGCGGCCCCTTCGTGACGAAGCTTTGCTCTGCAACTCTTAAAATAATTTTCAGTTCTGTTAAGAAATTACCTCAGTAAGGGTTAATGTAAACGAAGCAAACTTGTTGTAAACATTTACAGCTTGTCTTCCTCGTCGTCTGCGTGGCGTTGGCTGCCGCTGCACCTCAATTCTTCGCAGCTTACCCTGCGTACACCGGATTCGCCCCCGCTACTAGGGTGAGTAAAATTATACCCATATAAGTACCTACATACATATATTTTTCCAAAAAGGTGATACATAGTTACAGCTTATGAGGAATGTTTATCAAGTTTATGGAGTAGAAAGCATTTTTCGAGGTGACTTTATAAAAAATATAATGCCTGATTAAACCAAAAATACAACATTAAAAGAACTAAGTAGCACCTCGATGGAAAACAGTTACCCTTCAGTCGAAGGCGTAATTTACGGAGAGGCGCTGTACATTGCTGCAGCAGGCCACGTTATCGCTTGCACAAACACATAATGTCAAACACAAGGCCCAAGACCTGCGTCTGCGTGGCTCCCCAAAGTCATTAGCTGTAGAGTTTGTTTGTTTGAATGTGCTAATCTCCAGAACTACTGGTTCGAAATGGACAATACTTTTTGTGTTTGTTATTTCATTTATCGAGGAAGGCTGTGGACTATAAAATATCACGCTATGATCTGTAGGAGTCGAGCAGCGGGTGAAAGCGTTCGAGAGTATCTCAATTTTTAATAAACATTAATTTTATTATTTACAGACCTTGGTAGCTGGTCCTACGGTTGTGAACAGCGCTGGTGCCCGCTACATCGCCCCCGGCTACGTGGGTCCTGCATTCTTCTAAACACCTCTTCTTCAACTGCCGATGCTCCTCCCACTTCGTCCATTGGTCTTAATTCCTCAATACTCATCATGTAAATAATCATTTGTAATGAATACACTGATATAATATATAATTTTTTGTTGTTTTTCTTGTTGCTATGCCTTTGCACCGCGATTGCGCAATAATGTCTACTAACAATTATTATTAGGGCTGATTTTTCAATAGTCACATAAATGTTATCTGAGGAATAAAATTGTTGCTGTCACTGTCTTATACAAACATTATGACGCGACAGCATCATAATTATTCCCCAAAAAACTTGTATCTAACCATTGAAAAATCAGCCCTTAATGCGTTTAAATTATTTACAATTAGGTATTACATCATCATCAGCCTATAAGTGCCCACTACTAAGCAAAGGCCTCTTCTCACAAGGAGATAGTTTGAGCATAAATCGCCACGCTTGCACAAGGCGGATTGGCGATTTCAAATTTATAATTACAGATTATAAGTCCAGGTTTCCTCACGATGTTTTGCTACACAGTATGTCAGTGGTGTCTAAATAATCATAGAAAGTACATATAATTCAGAAAAGGTAAATTGGTACTTGCCAGGTTTCGAAAATGCACCCTCCTACATGAGAAGCAACCAATTAGGTACCTATATGACGTTAGAGTTCAAAATCAATAATGATAGAGCCAAATAAAACAAACGAATAACAATAGATATAGATTAAATTAAATTAAATTAGTTTAAACAATACAATACTTTTTAAACATCTTTTAATCACTCAATCTTAAAATCAATCAATATTATTAATCTTCTTATATATAAAAATGGATCGCAAAATGTGTTGGTAAGCGCATAGCTCAACAACGCCTGGACCAATTTTGCTAATTCTTTTTTTGTTGTATTTGTTATTGTCAGGAGAAGGTTATTATTAAGAAAATATTAGAAAAGTAGAGGGGAAGATTGGGAAAAGTGACCCTTTGATAGCGAGATAGTTGGACCCGTGCAAAGCGGGGGCGGGCCGCTAGTTTAATTAAAAAAAACTTCTTATTCTCTTAAACTTATCTATAAATTTAGTCTGAAAAAATATTTATTCTACTAAATTACTTTGAACTAAATTGATTTATTAACATAAAAGCGCATACTACAAGAAAAGAATTCAACATCAAAAGTAATCTGTAAACCAGTTTTAACCTTTTAAATGCATTCCATTCCACAAAGATGCCAAAGATGGTTGTACAGGCTCGTAACAGCATGGACCAGTTATTGTGTAATCGTAATGACAGAATTTTATCTGAGATATTATATATAACAACGAAATTAAATCGATAGGTTTATAATCGATATGTTTACACCCGCAACCCGGCTAAATTACATGTAACCCTGGCCAGTTCATATAGTGTTGCAATAATGTAACGCGGTACCAGCCTTCCTTGAGTAGGAGAAGGAACGGCGTTAGTTCTAGTCAGAAACGGCCTTATTACAGAGTGAGAGAGCCTTGCTTCGGCACGAATGGGTCGGTTCGACCGGAGTGATACCACGGCCTTACAGAAAACCACCATGAAACAATTACAGCGTTGTGTTTCGCCGTGTAAGTGAGGTTAGGTACCGGAGGCTCAATACTTCCCCATCCCAATCCCTAAACTCCAAAAGATCGGCAACGCACTCGTAACTTCTCTGTTGTTGCGGTCGTCCATGGGTGGCGCTGATTGCTTACGTAATATGTAATAGTTCGGCAAACGAGCAGACGGATTACCTGATGGTAAGCAATCAGCGCCGCCCATGGACACCCTCAACGGAGGTGTTACGAGTGCGTTGCCGACCTTTTAGGGTTTAGGGATTTGGAGATTTAGGAACTGGGGAGGGATTGGGAAGGGGAAGGATTGGGTCTCCGGTAACCTCACTTACACGGCGAAACACAACACTGTGGTTGTTTCACGCCGATTTTCTGTGAGGCCGTGGTATCACTCCGGTCGAGCCGACCCATTCGTGCCGAAGCATGGCTCTCCCACACTTGGTTTACAAGTAAGCTAAAGATAATTATCTAAATGTTAGATGATAATCAGATAAGTAGGTACTATCAAAAGTAATATTTCTGGTAGGGTCTCAGTGATCCAATTTTAAGCTAAGTTTTTAAGCTAGTATTAAAAATGTAATATGTATTTCATTTTACGCAAAACTAGTGATGCGTTTTATAAGCCTTTATGCTTATTATGTCATAATTCTTATACTAAAACTTTATTAGACTTGAGTTTCTTTTTGGTCAACTAAAATTAATTCTGGTCAATACATAAAAGAAACTTTATTTCTAATATTTTAACTTCAACGTGTCACATATGCATGTATGTACATTTGAAATCATGGGGGCAAAGTTTAATAAACTCATAATGGCAATCAATACAGACAAAACACGTGAAAGTTATATTTTATAGTAGAAATTGTCTCATGCCATGACACTAGCGATGAATAAAATTAACATAGATTATGGTTTGAAAAAAATTCAAAGAATTCGTATGCTGTTACGTAAATGATGTCATTCAGTTTTGTCACAGTTCTTATTGTTTGAGAAGTTATATTTGAGTAGAGGAAGTATTTATTTAGTTTTTGCAAGTGTGTTTGTGAGGTAAGTGGGGTTTAAGAATACGGGGAAGAATGGGCATTCTTCCCAAACCCAAAAAAACTCTTATTTAAATCCCTAATAACCCACAAAAGGTCAGTAACGCACCACTGCCACGGCCACGGGTATAGCCGACCCATCCTCAATCCCCAAACCGCCTTCCTCTAATCCCTGATAACCTACAAAAGCTCAGTAACGCACTATTGGCCACGGGTGGTGCCGATTGCTTACCATACCATCAGGTAATTCTTCAGATTATTTTCGAACATATCCCATAAAAATGTTCACATCAAAAAACTAGATCTCTTTCCTGTATTTTTCGTTGTAGATAAAAAATTAAAAAAATTAGCAGCATCATAAACCATTTGACCATTAAAAATCACTTTAAAGAAGCAACTGGCAGCACTGTTACAGATAACTAAACGAAAGGGTAACAACAAGACACTTTATTAAGTGTATTTTTTGCCGCTCACGCAATAAAGGTACTCATTATTGTATATGTTATATAATGTAATGTAATTTGGTATAAAAAATGATGTAAATCTCGACGGTCGTAACGGTCGCCGATAGAGATAGTAAAAGTGGTCAGTCTTGTAAAAAAAGACGAGAGCAAGCCGCAAACTTGCTTTGCTCGCTCAATATAACCGACGCCGACGCTCTCATTTCAAACCACACCGAACAATTAATTTAAGAAACAAAAAGTAACTTTGACTAATTAAAAAACATTCAAAATGTAATTTTTGTTCTTCTTTCAATTACTTAATTAATTTTAGAGTGTTGTTGGTTGAATAATGTGGTTTTTGAATGTTTAATACTCGTGACTTTATTACATAGTTTTGTTACACGTTGTTTGAAGGCTTGAAAGTAATTGACATATCCATTGACTAGGAATTAGGTGACAGGCATGGCTCGCGCTAAAAATTCGTATGGCAGGTTTTTTTTACAACTTCGTTGTTGCGTTGCTTCCATGTTAAAAATTTCGTGTTGCGAAGATGATATCAACAAACAATATTTTAAATAGGACCCCAACTTAGTGGATCGGAATATTTTTATCTATGACTAGCTACTATCGCGCGGTGCCCGCTGCTCGGCTCCATATGCTCGTAGCGTGATGTTTTATAGCCTAAAGCACTCAGGAACATTGTAGCTGATTGCTATAGTGAAAGAATTTTGGCAATCGAACCAGTGGTTCCAAAGATTACCTCTTACATACAAACTTACAAATTTTATCTTTTTATAATATTGGTATATACTACCTGTGAGTTGCAACTATCGTCTCCAAAAAATCAAGCAGTTAAAAAACCTTTCCTAAAAAGTATGGTTGTAACTGCAAACTTATAAAAAAATTGCTGATGACATCAATTATTTACCTTCTATTTCTTATAAATAGGAAACGACCGGTCAGTAGGTACGTCGTATCATAAAATATGGAATCACATGACTTGACAAAACAACAACTTAAGGAAGGCACAAAGAGAATGTAGTTCCTAAGCAATCAGGTATCAGGTGTTTGATACAAGAATCAGTTCCTTGGTCCCATATATCCAGTTGCGTCATAACGAGAGGATCCGATTGGCTTAGAAAGGCTTTCGAAAGGCAATGCCGATGTAACCTCTTATATAAAATTAGTGACGGAGTTGATATGTTATTTTTGTTGTTTTATGGAGTAACGAGGTGGTTTGGTTTTGGCGGTAATGTACTGAGCAGTTATTACATTGACCGCACTGATTGTATGTTATGTGATTTTAAGGCTCTTTTTCCTGTCTGTTGTAGTGACTGAAGTTTTTTTTATCTACATCATTGTGGTATACCTACATACATTGAATTTTGATATCAACAAATGTACGTCATCTTATATACATATAGTTTGTTAACTCGTTTTAGTAGTAGTGGTTATACATGGAGTTTCTATTGTAGTTGTGCCAGAATCAGAAGCCCTCCTTGCCCCAAATGTGGGAGGCCCACTTTTCGGTACGATTGTGTCGGTTCCATCGAAGTAATTAACATAGCCAGAATTCTGGCGTGAAACAATGCTTGCGTTGTGTTGCATTATGTACGTAAATGAAGTTAGCGGCGTCCACATTTCTCCCCAAATCTTCAACCTTTATATCCCTAACTTTCTAAAGACCGGCGGTGCACTTTGTAAATCCTTCTCACAACTCAAAGCATCAGACAAGAAGTATCCATGGGTGGCGCTGATTGCTTACTATGGGATAATTCCTCTGGTCGTTTGCCGCCCTACACCACAAAAATGGTTCTATCTATACTATCTATACTAATATTATACAGAGGTAAAATTTGTAAGTTTGTATGTTTGTAAGTTTGTATGTAGGGGTTAATTTCTGAAACCGCTGGTCGGATTGCGAAAATTCTTTCACTGATGAGAGCTACAATG